TTTCTGTTCAGTGTTATTTGACATTAATTTGTTTAATTGTTTTCTGTTCAGTGTTATTTGAATTAATTAGTTAGTTTATTTGTTTTCTTTGGGTTAATTAATTATTTGCATTCTTTACATTAATTGGAATTTTTATTTGTTTCTTTAATTGAATTAGTAGTTAACTTGGAATTTTTATTGTTGAATTAGTAATTACATGTTTTAATTTGTGACTAGGTAAAAAAAGTGTGGTTAGGGTTTTAGTTCTGTTTAGGTTTAGGGTTATTTAAGGAGCCGACAAGGTTTATAACCTAGGTTGAGTTTATGGGCCTCGTTTCAGACTGTAGGTATAATTGGACTTAGGGTTTTGGTTGCCTATAAATATATAAGATAAGTCTGCTTAGGGAACAAAATAATACAACCAAAACACGTCTGTGGAATTAGAAACGAGGAACAGAGGAAGTTGCAGTAGGAGTCGCCGGCGAGTGTAGACGACAACGTAGAGATTTTAACAAAAATCTCACAAGGCAAGTTCTAACCTTACTCTCTCCCTTATACTCGTGTTCTTTGCATACTCAATGGTTCCAGGATGAATTACATGTTTAAAAATAAAAGACGTTGTCTGTGTCATGCCTAGAGTGTAACTGAAACTGATTTTGGTTTAAAACTTGTAAACTGTTAAACTTTGAACTGTCTTATTTAATTCTTGGTTTAATCCATATTAGTAGCATAATAAGGACTGAGTTAAGGACTGGAATCTTCTAGGACTAATTGAAACTCTCTGAAACCCTCTACTGTGAAGTGTCGGAGGCGTAAACGGCGACCGGAGAGGAGAACACGAAGAAGAGGAGGGAGAGAGCCGGCTCCTATTGGATTGGAGCCGGCTCCCCTTGGACTGGAGGCGGCTCCAATGGTCTAGGAGCCGGCTCCAGGGCCATTGGAGGCGGCTCCAATATTCTGGAGCCGGCTCCAGGTTGTTTATGCGTGAGCTTTGTTTCTGTGGGTTGTTTTTCCAAATTTTTTTCAGTGATTAGGCTTCCTACTGATTGTTTTAATGTGTTTATTGGTGAATGAATACTGTAATGGGTGATTTAGGAGTGGTCTAGGGTAAACATAAATATGCAAAGACCAGATTAACATAAAATTGGACACAAAGCGTTAACCATTAGGATTACATGGAGTTAATTACGAAGGTCTTGTAGACTGTGTAGATTTGGAGTTTCTAATTTCTTAATTATATTAGAAATTTTCTGTGAGAGCTTGTCCACTCGAATTATATGTTCATGGAAAATAGAAACTATGCTAAAAATTTATATTTCACTGAAAATTAGTTGATGATTAAATTTAACGGTTAGTGCGGCAAATTGTTGGACAGGAAACTATAAGTATAATAGATTACTTATATTTATTCTGCATGCTATAGATGTGAGTGGGAAAATGTCTATTTAGGCTCTGTTAATTCTATGGAAACTGGGAATAGGTCATCATTATAAATAAAGCCCTGTATGATCAAATTATGGATTCTGAATTGGCTTACTTAAGCATGTTTGTTAATCTGTTCTAACATGTTTAGTTTGGAACTGTTGGTATTGACATTTATATGGTCATTATTTTGTCAACTGTAAATGTAAATAAGCATGTTGATTATCTATTTCAATATGCATAGTAAGGAGTAGTTGACATTGATATTTATATTTTCAATGTGAATCAATTATTGGTATTTTTAAGAATGGTTGCTAATGCATTCTATTATGTGTAGTATGGAATTGTTGATATTGTTGTTATAATTATCGATGCTTTATCAACTATTGGACGGATTGGATTGTATGTACCGGTATGGGACGGTGACATACTGGGTTTGGATTAGCTCAAATTGCTAAGTCCTACCTATTTTGGAGTAAGGGCACGGGTTATAAAATACAATCCTCCTTATATATATAAGTCGGTACGGTTGACTACGCCGAGTGACTTATTGGAGTTCTGGTGGATGGATAGAAACGGAGTTTAGATATATTTTTATGTTACCGTGTCATGAGCTTGAGTCTCAGTGTCGACGGTTAGGGTGCGTATATGCAGTTGGATGTGTAGCTGACTGTGAAGGTTGAGGTATACCCTGTTTAGGTTTGGGTACTCATACCCACTCAGGTGCGTATTGTGTGATGCCTTCTATCCAGGTTGAGACCCCCTTCATGGCCTAGCGAGAGTCCAGTAGTGTGGATATATTTATGTACGGATTATTAGTTATTGTTGACCTATTTAGTATGTACATGCGTATCGAGTCTCTGCTTGGATTGTAGTAGGTTAGAACTTGTTCGTGGGCCTGACCCACTCCTATTTTTCAGGTGTACGTCAGTTCCAGGCTTGAGCTTGTTCGTGCAGAGCAGAGACGATCTTCCATTCTACCGAAGATGTAGGGTTTCTTTCCAGATCTTGGATTTGGGGTTTTATCGTTTATTTTACTTTCATTTAGTGTGAGACTTTTATTAGGGGTCCACTAGAGATGGATTCCCGAGTTGTTCAAATTATGGATATTTGGTTTATCAAATTTAACATATTTAATTATTTAAGGATTATCTTTTAGTTTCTTTTCAGCTTTAAACTTTCATTTCTTAATTCATTTTGTATTCTGTGTTCGCTATAACATATTAATTGTTTGATACTCCCTCGGGTTTGGGCCTGGGCCTGATCAACCCGTGTCTCGGATCCGAGGGGTATCACAATACAGTCAGAGGTGAAGCGCTCGATAGCCTCCTCCTTGTTCACTCAGACCTGTCTGCTCTCCTTCGACAGGTATGTTCTTGTTCGCGCGGTTTTTGTTCCCTACGCTGGTCGATGGACTCTTCGCGGGCGTGCCAGAGTATTTGTACAAAATACCCAAAATATGTAATTGAACACCAGCCTATCCCTTTTTCCGATGGCTGACTCTCAGGTGATTGTGTGGGAGAGAGACTAGTAAGAACTCCCAGCAAGGTTCTTTTATGCCTTATTTGTAGCAAGGACTTTTTAGAGTGTCTAAAGAAATGCAACGGCTGATGAATGTTTGAATGGATGGAATGGCCGAGTGAAGACAGGCGGCAAGAACTTAATCGATCGCCGGCCGAACGTGATGGCGAGAACTTAATCAATCGCCATCAGCCAAACACAATGGCAAGAATTTAATCAATCGCCACTGAAACGTGATAGCAAGAATTTAATCAATTGCCATCAGCCAAGTAATGACAAGAATTTAATCAATTGTCACTACGATTCAATGGCAAGAATTTAATCAATTGCCATTGAATTGAAAGCCTAACTAAAATTGCGTAATTAAAATTGGCATAATTGAAATTGAAAGAAAGTAAATGGCTGAATCGAAATAGTTGACAATGATCTAATCAATTGCCATTAAATTGAAATAAAGAAATTGATAGGAAAAATGACGTAGAGTCAATTGAAAACATTTTTAGTTGAAATGCATGTTTTGTGGTGGTGCTGGACGAATTAGAATGGAATACAATACTTCTATTTATAGAAGTTCTATCTCAACTTATTTTCCTAATTAATTGCTAGAAAATCTCTTTGCTCCTTGATTTTCTTCACTTTATTACTCAAACTAAACCACGTTCCAGTAGTCTTTTGCGTCTCTTCTCTTCTTGCTTCAATAGGAAAGTCCTTGCTGAAATCTCTCCTTGATCCAGTCAAATGCAAGTTGTCGAGAAACATGCTGAAAAGTTGCTGAAAAGTTGCTAACTTTTAGCAACTCATTTCCTTAAGTTAGGCTGAAAACTTCCCTTAAATGGCTGGAAGACCATTTATAGCTTTTGCCCAAATTATCCCTCACGTGACGGCCTCTCCTTTGAATTCCTTATTCCTTTGCAACGAAATTCCTATTTCATAGGAATCTCATTCCAACTAAATCTCTTCTATCTCAACTGAAATAATATATTTGAATTAACTCAAATATTAATTACCAAATTTCAACAACAACCTTATTGGATAAGGTGGCTAAATTCCAAGATTTTCTCCTCTTGTTTCTCAATTGGCCGACTTTTCTTGAAACCATACTAAACAGGTGTCGGCCCATCACTGGTCCACGTCACCACTGAGGTGGCTGCCAAGTTTTGGTGCCAACAGTTCTAGAGAGAGAGAGAGAGAAACGTGTGTATTTTACTGATAATTTGTTCAATTGCGAAATGAGGAACCCTAGTTTTGTCTGAAACATTTCAGAATACCTTGTGCTGTGGTGTGATAGATTGAAGTCCTAGGTGTGTTTTTTTTAGGGTTTGCTTCTATTAGCTTCGTTTCTCTTCAATTAAATTATGCGTAGTTTTTCGTTCTGTGATTTATCGGCTGCTTTGTTATTCATCGTTATCGTAGTTATTACTTTTCTGTTTATTTTAGTTATTTATTCTGATTACCGTCTTCTAAATTTGATTCGTACAACCCCTACATTCTTTGCTTGCAAATCATTTTAAGCTTCAGTTATGGCTTTGATTAGTTTCAGGTTGATTTTGCTTATTCTACTAAGAAGTAGACGGAGTATTGATCATTTTAAAAATTGAGGTATAAACATAAAAAATAAAAATGTCATGTTTGTGTTCCCATAACTCCAAAATAGGCTGTGCCAATAGTGTATGCGCATGAATGAATTGACCCCCAAAAAAACAATGTATGAACGTGGCATGTCTTTTGGGTTGATAATGTGCTCTGTTTAGAATGAAAGCAAATGATAGTTTGTGCTTTGTTCATACATATGATTCTTTTACGTTGCTTGATCTAATATTCATTGTACTCACATTGGAAACTGTCTTAGTCGATCCACATATAATTAAATTCAAATCGAAAATATTGATGGAAAATATTCATGAAAGCTAATAAGAATTGTAATTCTACCACATTAATGATAAGAATTGTAATTCTACCACATTACTATAAACTCTGCCCTATAATATTCCCTTTCAAGTTGTGATAGATGTTAGAAAATCTGTAGTTAGAAACACCCAATAACATATAATATAAGTATTTCTTGAAATGCGGCGGGAAATATATAATCCAGCCGTTGACAGTATTTTCCACATAATGTCTCTATAATGTTTCACTTTGGTATTTCTGTATTACTTGGCACTTGATATAATATATGTAATATATGTGTTGTTATTTTTTCATTTTTTTCCCACACCAATCTGCTTTGTCACCGTTGGCTATTGATTCTTGAATTGGATATCTAGTTTGCAAAATGTATCGAGATTGGATTGCCACAGCTCATATTTCTAGTTATTTTTTCCCAGGTAATGTTTAATTGTGTATTGCTTTTCATTACAATGGTCTAGGTTTCGAGCTTTATACTTTTTTTTTTTTTTTTCTCCATTAGAATCCTAAATCATCTTAAGCAGATTGGTGTTTTATCTCATCAGCGTCACACATCTTAATGTTTTCAGTTTATACCTCATCTAATGAGTGGGGAAAGGCATTTCTTTGACCGCTTTGCTGTTATATTCTCAGTGGTGATTGTTTGGATTTATGCTCACCTACTTACTGTGGGTGGGGCATATAAGAACGCACCTATGAAAACTCAATTAAGCTGCTGAACAGATCTTGCAGGACTTATAGGTGCTGCTCCATGGTAAGGCTAGTTGTTTGTCTTCTAATTGTGTGGTGTCATTGTTGATAACTGTGACTTATTTTTCTTCTGGTCATTTTCAGGATTAGAGTCCCATATCCATTTCAATGGGGAGCTCCCATATTCTTGTAGAGGTATTGTGCTTGTTAGTTGAAGCCTGAGATACATCATTAGACATTTGGATTGTTTCTCAGGGAACCATCAACTTGTCACTTCATATTGTTGTCTCCTATTATGCATCCGTTGTGGTATTTATGTGCTTGTGTTGTGTTTAGTTTCTCTTCTTATGCAGCTGGTACCATTCCCTAGAATGGAGGTTGGTTTTGTTAGGTAGCTTAATAGTTAGTGTATAGCCGTAAAACTTTTGTTTGTGAGTTGAGTTGTTTCTGCAAAATTTGTATGAAATATCTTATCCAAAGTTGTATTGACTTTTGAAGCAAGCACACTATTGCAGAATCTTTTTGATATTTCTATTGCAACACTTTCCTCCCTGTTAATGGCATAAACCCTCACTTTTCTACATCCATCTTTGAAACTTATTACGAGCCTAAGTTATATAATACTTGTATTGTATCTCCATGCAATTTTTTGTGTTTCTTAACCATTCTCCAAGTAGAGTTCACATTGCCTAGTTCATTTCTGGATTCTTTTACTTACACACATATATATTTTTTATTGTTGTTTTAAGTATGAAGAGTTTGATGCTTTTATAATTGGCATTTTGTACTTTGCATAGCCACATCGATTCACTGGTTTCTTTGGCAGTTTTTAATGTGGTTAGCTTCGCGAATTTATTGATCTCTTATGAACTTTTGAAATGTCAACAGTCCACTGGTGCCTTCATTGCTATGTCAAGGCATGCAAGTGCAACTCCCATGCCACTTTCTATTCTCAGTCGCGGTGTTGGTTGGCAGGTGAAATTGACCTAGTGATAATTTTGTCTGTATTTTTTCCTTCGTTAACACCTCAATGCTAAGCCTAAAAGACTCTAGATATGGCGCAATTTTCCACTCAATTTTTACATGGGCTGCTTCCAAAATAAATAATTAAAATTAATGGCCAACTCAATATTGTTGAACCTCCCCCCAACTAAAAAGAATGGTTCACGCGTAATTTAACTAAAATTTTCATCTGACATAGTAGTGGCATTTAACTAAAGATGGCTCTGTCTTGAAATAATGGGAAACTAATCTGTCATGTCACTTTGAATGCGATTCTTTTGGTCATGAATTATGTTCATAAAGTACTTCTCCAAATTTTTTTTTTTTTGGTAAGTAAGAATAATTTTAAAAAAGCGCTCAAAAGGGGAGCGAAACCCTGAAAATATACACAAGGCCACAAAGGACCTTTATGCCTTCAAAGAAGCTAAAAAATCGACAATTTCATCTAAAGATCTATGATCTCTCCCATAAACCCAACAAAAAAGTGTGGAAATAATAGAAAATTTAAGAGTAGAAATTGACAACTCCTTCCCATCAAAATATCTTCTATTCCTCTCGAGCCAAATACACCACCACACACAAAGAGGCGTAGCCCTCCAAGCATCCACAATGTGAGCCCTCACATGGCAACCTCTCCACGCCTCAATCAACCCTCTAACGGATCCAGGCATAACCCAAAGAATCCCAAACAAGCCAAACATTAAATTCCAGTAGTCTCTAACCATGTTGCAATGGAGGAGAAGGTGATCCACAGATTCCTCATCCCGAAGACACATATAGCAGCAATTGACCACCACTTGATTTCTTCTTCTCAAATTATCCTGGGTTAAAATCCGTCCCAAAACAGAGGTCCAAGCAAAAAAACCCACCTTGAGTGGAGCCTTACAGCGCCAAACAGCCTTCCAAGGGAAGCGAGCTCTATGATTATCCGTGAGGCATCTGAAAAATGATCTAACCTCAAAACGCCCATGAGAGGTGGCAGCCCAGGACCAACAATCAGAAATCCCATCCATAATCCTCTGGCGATACAACAACTCCAGAAAACGAATGGCCTCCTCAATCTCCCAATCCTGAAACAACCGTCTGAATCGAACATCCCAAACCAATGACCCACTGTCAAGATGATAGCAGTTAACCACCATAGTCTGCCTATCCATAGCAATCCTGAAAAGATGAGGAAAAGCGGTGGCGAGAGGAGATTCCCCACACCAAACATCCTCCCAAAAGCTGATCCTCGTGCCATCCCTGATTTGAAAGCGAACGTGTTTGGAAAACTCGTCCCAACCCTTCCGAATGACTTTCCAAACCCCCACACCTCGAGTGCCACGCACCTCCAAAGAACACCACCCTCCTCTAGACTCCCCAAATCGACAAGCAGCGACCCTTCTCCAAAGCCAATGCCTCTCCACACCAAATTTTCACAGCCATTTCCCAAAGAGAGCCGTATTAAAAGGCACCAGTCTTCTAAGACCCAAACCTCCGTAACGAATTGGCCAGCACGCCTGATCCCAACAAACCAGATGGAACTTAAACTCTTCACCCCCCCCTCCCCCTAGAAAATTACGCTGCAATCTCTCAATCCTCTCCGCAACTGAAGAGGAAATTTGAAACAAAGAGATAAAATAAGTAGGGAGGCAAGAAAGGGTGCTCTTACTCAGAGTGACCCTACCTCCTTTAGAGAGATACTGCTTCTTCCAACCCGCCAACCTCTTCTCAAACCTATCCACCACAGGGTCCCAAACCCCAACACATCTAGACGAGGCCCCCAAAGGCATCCCTAAGTAAGAGATGGGAAAGGAACCAGTACGACAGCCAAGAATATCAGCCAAAAACCCAAGCTCAGGGACCTCTCCCACCGGCACCAAAACGCTTTTGCCCACATTCACCTTAAGGCCAGAAACAACTTGGAACCAAATCAAGACACATCTCAAATATCTAAGCTGGGACATATTCGCATCACAAAGAACCAAAGCGTCATCGGCAAACATTAAATGGGAGACCTCCAACTGGGGAGCAGCATCCCTACCCACTTGAAAGCCTCTCAGAAACCCTAACTCAATAGCCTTCCTCATCAATCTGCTGAGGCCTCCATCACAAACAGGAACAAGAAAGGGGAAAGCGGATCCCCTATCTTAATCCCTTCGAGCTAGAGAAAAATTCGGTAGGAGCACCATTCACAAGAATCGAGAAGCGAGCACTGGAAATACAAAAAAGAATCCATCTCCTCCACCGATCACCAAACCCCATCCTCTCTATCAGGTAAAGAAGGAAGTTTCAATTCACATGGTCGTAAGCCTTCTCCAGGTCAAGCTTACACAAAACTCCCGGGACCCCACTGCGTAATCGGGAGTCCACACATTCACTAGCAATAAGAACTGAGTCTAAAATCTGACGACCTCCCACAAAAGCATTCTGAGAATCAGAAATGACACCATCCAGGACTTTCCACAACCTAGAAGCAAGAATCTTGGCAATCAACTTGTAGAAACACCCTACCAGGCTAATAAGGCGAAAATCCATAATATTCATCGCCCCTCCTTTCTTCGGAATGAGAGAAATGAAAGTGGCATTCAAAATCTTCTCAAACGAACCCTGAGCATGGAAAGCATGAAATGAACCCATCACCTCCCCTCTAACCACCTCCCAACATTCCAAAAGAAATCTCATGGTAAAACTGTCAGGACATGGGGCTTTATCCCTGTTACAACTCTTCAAAGTAGAAAGAACTTCCTCTTCAGAGAAAGGCTCCTCAAGACCTGAGCACTCCTCACTAGAAATAGAGGCAAACTGAAGCCCCTTAAGCAAGGGTCTCCACTCAACAGTCTTAGTGAACAACTTCTCGTAGAACTCTGAGATGCCCTTGCAAATATCCTCCTCCTTGCATAGAAGCTCCCCTTCCACCTGAATCCTCCCAATATGGTTGCCCCTTTTATGAGCATTGGCCAATCTGTGAAAAAATTTCGTGCTATTATCCCCCTCCTTGAGCCACAAAGCTCTAGACTTTTGTCTCCACGAGATCTCCTCATGATCGCAATCTCAGCAAACTCCGCCTTACACTCCGCCCTCCTAACTTTCAAAGCATCAGCCAAATCCCCTTGACCCTCCATCCTATCAATATCAGCTATCTCAGCCAGAACCCAATTTTTCCTCCACACAAGATTCCTAAAGACTTCTTTGTTCCAAATCTTAATATTTCCCTTCAAACGACGCAAATGATCTGCCAGCAAATGAATTGGGGTGCCAATCACCCCAAACCCCGCCCACCAAGATCGGACCCTTTCCAGAAAACCCTCATCCCGAAGCCACATATTCTCAAAACGAAATGGAGAGCGCCTACTTCACAACCCGCCACAATCCAGCATCAACGGGACATGGTCAGAGATAGGATGGGCCAAAATAGCTTGCACAGCATCAGAAAACTTCTCCTCCCACTCCCCGGACACAAGGAACCTATCAAGCTGAGAGAGAGTAGGGGGAGAGCGACCACTAGACCAGGTAAAAGGCCCACCCTCCAGAGGCAGATCAATCAATCTAAACTCATCAATGAAAAGAAAACCTCCATATCAGAAGTCCATCTACCCCCCGTCGATCTCTCGAAAGGAGATCGAACAATATTGAAGTCCCCTCCAACACACCAGGGAAGCAACCATCTCCTTCGAACCTCCCCCAATTCCTCTCAAAGCAAATGACGCACACTATCCTCTGTAGGCCCGTAAACACCAGAAAAGACCCAAGGAAAACCATCCTCCACCAAAGAAAACACGCAGGAGACAGAGAATCTCCCAACATGAGAATCCACCTTAGACAGCCATCTGTTATTCCACATGATCAAAATGCCCCCCGAAGAGCCAACAGTATCCAAAACAACCCACTCCACAAATCTTCCACCCCAAAGACTACGCACCAACCTATCTGACTCTGTAATTGTTAATGTCTTGTGTGTTCTAATCATCTTAATTCTGTTCTTTATCGAAGGGAGTGGGCATATTCTTCTCTGGAATATTTGGAACCGGGAAATTATAAATCAATTTCTAGTTAGCCTTTAGAAGATACACCAGCAGCATCAAATTTGAGGTCAAACTCATTGAATCTAGAAAAATATTAAATGAGAAGGGTGATTGCCAGAGCCACACTGCCTGCTTCCCTCAGCTTCTTTAAAAACTGTCGAAGCAATTGAATCTCTCTGCTCATATCATCCAGGGGCTTTTAATTGTAGGCAAGTTCTTATCAATTTTATGTGAGAATTCCGAGGAGATAAATAGACAATTGGCCCGAGACAGCTTTTAATAGTGGTTTCACAGGGCATGACAAAAATGGCTGTAAAATAACCATCAAAGATATGCTAATGCTAGCAATGTCATAAATGACCACTTACCATGAACCTAGCTGGTGTGATCCAGTATTTTCATACAAGAACCCGGGGAAAATTGACAAAGTCAAGACATATTAAAAAAAATGCCTAACATATAATCTACATTCTGAAAGAATAATTGTTTGTTGCTCAACCGTTCCAGTGTCTTTGCACCATCTACAGTCTGCATAGATTCCAAAAATTATCTTAAAGTTCAGAAACTTAAAACTTATTGAACATTAAGTTTTGCATGATTGAAAAAAATTTACACTTCTTTTAACTTGCCTGTGTTTGTATGCCAGCAGCAGCAAAGTCAGCTGAAACAGTTGTTGATCCTTCTGAGGCTGCCTTTGAGCGGTAGTGTTTCACAATTGGCAGTTTGGGAAAGAAGATTGCATACAGAAATATACATAGAAACTGAAGGAATGTAGAGACCGCAAGGAATAACACTGCAAAAGTAGTAACAGATATAGTTATCAACATAATTTTTGAAACTTCACGATAAAAATCTGAAATTGTATACATACTAGCCCCCTTGCGAAGACCATTATCAGATTTTTCGAATGCTGCTTTTGTGATTAGCCTCAAAGCAGAGGTTCTGACCTCTGATGCAGCCAAACCAGCTAGAAATGACTGCAACATCCATAATAGGAATATTCATAAATTTAGTAATTTGATTCAAATACCTTCAAAATGAAGGCAAAAGTGGTCGAGTAGCATAAGAAAAATATATATTTAACCACAAGACTGACTTGGATGAACTCGGGGCTCATAAGTGACAGGTCTTCAACCATTCCACCTTGAACATGGGCATCTGCAACCCCAAAAGCATCAACTAAGATACATATACCTATATAACTTCCAATCCCTCCTTTTCCTGATGTAGCTAAATCCAACTGTCAAAAATGAAAGAAAAATGAAGCTAAATCAAATGGTGGACAACACCATCATACAAATAGAGTAGTGGCAGTACTTAAAATTACGAGCAACAAAGTACTCAAGAAGAATAGGGTGTATCCCGTTATGTTACGTCGTCTGGTGTCAATCCTTGACTCATAGTATGAAAGTGTCGCAATTGTACCAAATGCGAATGGTTGATAAACGGGGTAGGTACCCTGGCAGGATGATATTCCTGCCATGCAAAACAAACACTTCGTCAAAGAAATTGGTGCACATACTTCTAAAATCAAAATTTTACTTAGATAAGTGCTTTGTGACATTCAATTTCTGGTGGGAAATTTATTCATGATATTATGATGTAGATGAGGGGAAAGATGTCTGCAATTGTTTTAGACTGAATCAACTTGCATTGGTCAAAGTCGGAGGAATCCGTACTTTTCAACTTTCACTAAACTGAAAATTATATCAATATCTCCATACTCTACAGCATATTAAGAATCATACAAACCACTCTAACTCGAGTGCCAAGTAATCTAATCCTATCACGTCAATTCAGAGACTCATTTTTTGGTATGTAATTCAAAGAACACTTAATAAAACCTTTCACACGATCCTCTGGAATAGTTCTATATTAGTATAGCAAAGAGTCATAATCAGATTGGATTTTAGTTATAAAAATACTTCTATTTGGCTGAAAAGTTGGTATGATCTTACTGTTTTATGGAACTCATGTGATGCCTCAACGGATTGCATTGGCCTTGCTGCATTCATTTGTTGGTCTATTTGGAAAAGTAGAAATGATTTTATGTTTAACAGTAAGAGGTGGGAGCCTATTGCTATTGTTCAACGAGCTCTCAATCATTTCCATGAATTTCAGGATGTGTGTAAACAAAATGAATTGTTTTCGTTGCCTCACATTCCTCATCAGATTCGTTTCGTCGTGTGGATCACCCCAAGTTTTGGAAGCCTTAAATTAAATTTTGATGCCTCTTTCAATGTGACTTCTAAGTCTTGTGGACGTGGTATGGTTCTTAGAAACCATTGTGGTCATCCTGTGAGAATAGCCTCTGTTTTTTTTCAGAAATGTTTGCAGCCCTTCTGTAGCAGAATGTTTGGTGCTAAGGGAATCTCTCAAGATGCTGAAGGCATGGGGATACCATCACGTCATGGTGGAAGGTGACTGTAAACCTGTAATGCATTTGTTCCCATCTGAAGAAGCTCTTGTGGTTGTCTATGAGGATATTTCCCTCCTTCTTGAGTCTTGTGTGGGCGTTTCTCTTGCCTGGACTCCTAGAAAAGGAAATTTGGTGGCTCACCTGTTGAGTGGAACGGCTTTGGACGCCCAGTGTAGTGATTTGATTTGGAGTATATGGCCCAAGTGGTTATTAAATGCTCTTAATCTTTGATTGTATTCCTGTTTCTGTTTAATGGTATTCCTATTTCGCGTGAAAATATATTACATATATTTCTTTCTATTTTTTAATCAATTTTTTTTATATATATTGACGGAAAGTAACCGTTATCATAGCCTGTAGGACCACTTTCGTTTCTTATATTTGGATCTTATTCCATTCCTCCATTGTTTATGCAAATGATTTGGACCTTTTACGATTTTCCTATTTTAATAATGACATCGTAATCCCGCAGAAAGACAGTTTTATCCTTCTCCTTATGTTTTGAATTCTATCTGTATAGCATGGCATTTTGGTCTTTCTAGCCCTTTCTTGCAAAACAAATTAGTATTAATTTCTCACCATAATCGTGGACATTAAGGCGTCCAAACTAATTACTATTAATTGCTCAGCATAATCGTGGACATTATTGAGGTGTCAAACCTAACCAAATAAAACATTAAATGTCCAAATCATCTAAATTCATTTTCATAACAAAAAATTACTCATGGTTTTGGAGCATATCCTACTTGGTGATTGAGTTCAATGTTCAAATTTCTAAATTAAATGATTAAAAAAAAAAAAAAAAAAAAAAAAGAACCTCATGCATCTAGTCAGTTCTCCTGATACCATGGAAAAAAAAAAAAAGAGGAAGTTAAACTTGAGTTTTTGTTATTATCTCGTGGTATTGCCAGCAGAGGCGGAGCCAATTAAGGCCCAAACGGGGCACGTGCCCCCCTCACGTTACTCTAACTTACTATACATAGGTATATATTTTTGGTATATACAAATATTTTTATGGTAATTTTAAATAGTGCCCCTCTCAAAATTTCAAATTCTTTTAATTTCCTTTTGAAAAAAAAACAATTTATATATATTCCTTCTTCAAGTATACAATATATTTTTCCTTTTCTAATTTTTGTTTCTTTTTCAAAAAATTTCTTTTTTTACTTATATATAATTATGTATTTTTGTATTTTTTTTAACTTATTTCTTTTTATCGATAACATTTGTGATTGTATTTAATTAAAATATTATTAATTAATATTTTGATTCTTATATTTGTAACTATATTTTATTTACAGTATTTATTTAGCATACTATTTTACAACTATTTTTTTTCTTATTTGTCTTTTTTATTTAAAAAAATTATACTTCCTATTTGTCATATTTATTATTATTATTATTTTTTTTTTTTTACAACAAATGGATTGTGCCACTGAACTAAAATCCTGCCTCCGCCCTGATTGCCGGTGTGTGAATTGATTTCTCGCCAGTCTGTAAGAGTTTCTCGATCATATTTGCCGAAAAAAAAAGTCCACTTACTTCATTTAAACATCGAGTATTCCAAAGTACTTTCTTTCTGGAAAGTTATTATCGAGTATTATGAGATTTTTTTTCCTTTTAAATCATCCAATTGGTACCATTATACCCAGATTCCATACCTGTCTTAGAAGAAAATGAATCTTTAATTCACTACTTTTTCTTTTACAGTGTAAAGTCATCACAGTACACACCCATCCTCGCAAAGGTAAGCTCATCTTTTCTCTATTCTTGATAATGTTTCTGATCTACATTCTTCATATAATATGTTTGTGTGTGTGTGTGTGTGTGTGTATATATATATTAATATATGTGTTTGTGCTGTTAAAAAGAATATAATAATAATACATGTGTTTGTGTGTTATGTATATGATATAGTTATTTCATGTTGCATTCCTATATTTTGCTCCAGATTTGATCTTTTAGGCATAAATCTATTGAGGTGTTCATTCTTTTTCCTTCGAGAAGTTGGTAATTTGGGTGTATGGGTTTTTCACCTGTTTGGCATTCTGTTATATGTATCATCACTATTTGATTCTTGCATTGTTTTTCACTTATATTGTTCTTGGTATTAGTCATATTTAACTTCTTAGAATATTTCTTTTGTTTTGGATTTTTATGCTGCATATATATTTATGTTTTGTTTTGGTTTTCATGTACCATCTATTATAAGTTTCTGTTATAGCAAAATCATTTCCATTTAAAGAGTCAAATAGTATAAAAACATGGGAATACTGCTTTTGTTGATTCTATAGGTTACTTCTGTTAATACGAAAGAAGACATGAGTATTGCTGAAGTAAATGCAGCTCCAACCAGGCTTAAGGTTCGTGACTCAAATTGATTTATACGGAGGAGTGGAATTTATACAAGAAGAGAAGCAATTTGTGTTTTTATTCTGGAAAAAAACTAATTTGTTTTTTTTTTCCCTTCAATTTCAGGGAAGGTTTAGTGCAATGGTAGTATGTTGGATTCTTGGACTCGGGTCCCTCGTGTCATGGAACAGTATGCTGACAATTGGAGACTACTACTATAAATTGTTCCCGGTACTTCGCCCATAGTCAATTTCTAACCCTTTGTCTTTTCAGATTATGACTCTTTGTTATACTAATATAGTACTATTCCATAGGATGTGCGAAAGGTTTTGTTAAGTGTTCTTTGAATTACATACCCAAAAATGAATCTCTGAATTGACATTATAGGATTAGATTACTTGGCACTCGAGTTAGAGTGGTTTGTATGATTTTTAATATGCTGTAGAGTATGGAGATATTGATTTATAATTTTCAGTTTAGTGATAGTTGAATTAAAGTTTGGATTCCTCCGACTTTGACCAATGCAAGTTGATTCAGTCTAAAACAATTGCAGACATTTTTCCCTCATCTACAGCATAATATCATGAATAAATTTCCCACCAGAAATTGAATGTCACAAAACACTTATCTAAGTAAAATTTTGATTTTAGATGTATGTGCACCAATTTCTTTGACGAAGTGTTTGTTTTGCATGGCAGGAATATCATCCCGCCAGGGTACTTACCCTCGTTTATCAACCATTCGCATTTGGTACAATTGCGACACTTTCATACTATGAGTCAAGGATTGACACCAGACGACGTAACATAACGGGATACACCCTTTTCTTCTTGAGTACTTTGTTGCTCGTAATTGTAAGTACTGCCACTGCTCTATTTGTATGATGGTGTTGTCCATATTGTTGAATTCCCACCATTTGATTTAGATTTCTTTCATTTTTGACAGTTGGATTTAGCTACATCAGGAAAAGGAGGGATTGGAAGCTATATTGGTGTATGTATCTTAGTTGCTGCTTTTGGGGTTGCAGATGCCCTTGTTCAAGGTGGAATGGTTGGAGACTTGTCACTTATGAGCCCCGAGTTCATCCAAGTCAGTCTTGTGGTTAAATATATATTTTTCTTACGCTCCTTGACCACTTTTGCCTTCATTTTGAAGGTATTTGAATCAAATTACTAAATTTATGAATATTCCTATTACGGATGTTGCAGTCATTTCTAGCTGGTTTGGCTGCATCAGGGGCTCTGACCTCTGCTTTGAGGCTAATGACAAAAGCAGCATTCCAAAAATCTGATAATGGTCTTCGCAAGGGGGCTAGTATGTATGGAACAATTTCAGATTTTTATTGTGAAGTTTCAAAAATTATGTTGATAACTATATCTGTTATTACTTCTTTTGCAGTGTTATTCCTTGCCATCTCTACATTCCTTGAGTTTCTATGTATATTTCTGTATGCAAACTTCTTTCCCAAACTGCCAATTGTGAAACACTACCGCTCAAATGCAGCCTCAGAAGGATCGACAACTGTTTCAGCTGACCTTGCTGCTGCTGGCATACAAACACAGGCAAGTTAAAAGAAGTGTAAATTTTTTCAATCATGCAAAACTCAATGTTCAATAAGTTGTTAGTTTCCAAACATTAAGGTAATTTTTGGAATCTATGCAGACTGAAGACGATGCTAAGACACTGGAGCGGTTGAGCAACAAACAATTGTTCTTTCAGAACATAGATTATATGTTAGGCATTTTTTTAATATATGTCTTGACTTTGTCAATTTTCCCCGGGTTCTTGTATGAAAATACTGGATCACACCAGCTAGGTTCATGGTAAGTGGTCATTTATGACATTGCTAGCATTAGCATATCTTTGATGGTTATTTTACAGCCATTTCTATCATGCCCTGTGAAACCACTTTTAAAAGCCGTCTATCTATCTCCTTGGAATTTTCACATAAAATTGATAAGAACTTGCCTACAATTAAAAGCCCCTGGATGATATGAGCAGAGAGATTCAATTGCTTCGACAATTTTTAAAGAAGCTGAGGGAAGCAGACAGTGTGGCTCTGGCAATCACCCTTTTCATTTAATCTTTTCTAGATTTAATGAGTTTGACCTCAAATTTGATGCTGCTGGTGTATCTTCTAAATACTAACTAGAAATTTTGCACAATTGGTGATCTTTCAGGTATCCACTTGTTCTGATAGCAATGTACAACGTCTGGGATCTAATATCAAGATACATTCCCCTCGTGAAGTGCCTAAAATTGGAGTCAAGAAAGGGGCTTATGGTTTCGATACTGTCCCGTTTCTTGCTCATCCCTGCATTTTATTTCACTGCAAAATATGGTGATCAGGGATGGATGATAATGCTCATATCCTTCTTGGGACTAACCAATGGTTATCTTACCGTTTGTGTCCTTACAGTGGCTCCTAAAGGCTACAAGGTTGGTTAACATTATTCTTCCTGAAGCTCTTCGGATACATAGCATTAGAGTCCAAAATCTGCATGAATTCAAAATTTTCCTTCTAAATTTTTTCCCGGTTTTTTGTTTTGTAGGGTCCGGAGCAAAATGCATTGGGCAATCTGCTAGTGGTATGTCTTTTAGGTGGCATATTTGCAGGGGTTGCCCTCGATTGGTTGTGGCTTATTGGGAATGACAAATTTTAAAGAGCCAAATTCCTGATCTTGATTAAAGAAAGTCAGTTCTTCACACAAAGTACTTCAAATCTGGATGGAGATAAAGCAGGAGCCATACTCTACTGCTAGCAAAAATTACAGAGCAGCTAGCAGCAGAATCTTAATCCTTAATCTGGAATGTGTTTCCAAATAGTATAAATGTGATGTTTTTACGTCTTTTTTGATGTATACAAGATGGTAGTTTGTGTGGACATGAAATAAAGGTCGAGAAACTTTTATGGAGTGTTAAATCAGCTAATGAAACTAGAGAAATAGGTCAAGCAGTTACTTAGAAATCTGATGGACTTTTAAGCAGAAGATACAAAATCAGGGCTGAGCACTAAGGACCTTATAGGCCACATGTGGGAGAGGTTCAACTTTACAGTCATTTTCCTACATGCAGTTATGCACAATTGAATTTACTTTTATGACTCTCAATTTGAGGTGTTTGAAACCTCTATTGAAATTATTCACCAAATCATTACTTCATAAGAAGCACCATAATTATGCTTGATTGACTTTACATCAATGAATCAAGTGGAATCACCTTGCTTTTGGGGCTAGTCATTATCAATTTATAAACTTAGTGCTCTTAATTTTTCACTGATGAAGCAACACAACTTACTTTAATTGTGGGTGGGCTCAGACTTTTGCGTTTCATCTCCTTTTTTTTTTTTTTTTTTTTTGCCAATTGGATTGTCGTACTTTCTGTTTGTTTTGGTGTCACCACATTCACAAGTTAAAAAGAAGAAGATATAATTACATTTTTTAATCTTACTTTCTTGTTCTACTGTATTCTTTTGTTTTTCATTTTTTTTTTTTTTTTTTTTGGAAAATAGAAATTATTTTTTTAGAAGGGATGACAATGGGTAGGTTAACAAGAGATTTTCCATCTTAAGCCAATCTAGCAGAAATATGTAGTCAAGAACAATTTTCAATGACTTGCATCTGCAGTACTTGGATTACGTTTTTCGGTTTTAGTTCTAAATGGTACCACGTTTTAGCTAGAAAATAATGCGTGCAAATGTGTGTGATTTACCTATCGAATGAAAAAATAGTGTTCAATTGGTGTGTTGCGGCAAGCACAGCAGAAGAAGCGTGAGGCATAAAATAACGAACCAAGCAAGTGTGACAGGTCTCACTCTTCAGAACATCATGGACATTGTACGTGACCGAGAAAGTGTGACCCGTCGATACTAGAACAACCCTTCGGAATTTTCCAGAATATGCAGCCACGTCAACAAGAACACCGTGGAAGTTCCATCAAAAACAATAAAGAGCACATGCACAACATAAGATTTACACGGTTCTCTCTAATTCAGGGCTACGTACACAGATGAGGAGATTCCACGATAATGATAAGGAGACGTACAATTTGTAGAGAATTACCAACATTGGAATAATATGCATACTCACTCTTGCCTAGAGTTTTCCATGTGTAATCTGCATTCCAGGGCAGAGGAAAGAGATACTTGAGTTTTTACGGTGAGAAACCTCTTGTCGTATTCAGTGTCCACTATACCAAATTAACCTAACTCTCTCTACGTATCCAATTCACTCACAAATCCCTCGTGAGGTTGTCCTTACATTTATGGTAGGAATATGAGCCACAATTCCTAACAAACTCCACCTTGCCTCAAATTTCATTCAGTCAACTACCGTTTCCCACGACAATTGCATCAAACAACTCATGCGGCTTCAATCTTGTGCACCTTTAATCATCATTCAAGGCTCCACCTTGACAACTCGAGCTCCATGCCACGTATCAAAATTTTTTGGCCTTGCGTGCTCCTTTTGCAAGCTAAGAGTAACTCCAATGAGCTGTTATTTAGGCTGCTATTTTCAAAATATAGCATGTGGGTTTAAAATGGGCTCTCTAATGGCATGCCAAATAGGCTGCCAAAATATAACTTTACTAAATGTTATGCCAAATATAACACAACATGTAGCTATTGCCAAATCTGCTATTGCCCTCTTCCTTCTCTCTTTTCTCTCGCATGGGTTGCCAATTTGGTGTTGTGCTTGTGTATATATATATATGTCAGTGTTGTGTGTGTATATATGTATATGTTTGTTGTGTGTTTGTATATGTCTGTTGTGTTTGTATGTGTGTGTGTGTGTATATATATATATGTTAGTGTTTTTATTTATTTATTTTTAATAAGGCAAATAAGCTAAATAAAATACAAACATTCACAAAAAAAAAAAAAAAAAAAAAAAAAAAAAAAAAAAAAAAAAAAATGGTTGTTAAAAATTGTAGTTGAGAATAGTAGTTAAAAAATAATAGTTGTTGTGTAAAAAAAAAACATTTTGGATGAAATATATTATTGGAGTAGAATTGCTAAAATATACCATTTTGATACTGTAGTTTCTTTCAAAATATAGATTTGGCATGCAAAAATGGCATTTTGCATTGGAGATGGTCTAAATAGCAAACCTTCTCTTTTGTGACTCAGAGAGAATGCACTCTTTCCAAATCTGAAAGCAAACCTTGGTTGAGAGCAAACATTCTCTTTGTGGCTAAGAGAGAACACACTCTTTTTGTGGTTTTTGAAAGTGAAACTTGGCTAAGATCAAACCTTTTCTTTATGGCTGAGAGAGAACCCACTATTTCTAGGGCTAAAAACGAACCTTGGCTGAGAGGAAACCTTCTCTTTGTGGTTGAGAGAGAACCCACTCTTTTCAAGGCTTAAACCAAACCTTGGTTAAGAGCAATCCTTCTCTTTGTGGCTGAGAGAGAAACTATTCTTTTCAAGTCTAAGAATGAACCATATAGGCAATTGTGATCAAGCAAGCTGATTAATTAAGTCCACCTGCAACTAAATCCAATTGTAAGACCACTTGTTAAGACTTGTGTTTTCTGGATCTTCTTTGAATAACCATCTCAGTCGAATTGTTATCTTTGATACCACTTGTTAGGCAAGCACAAGTGAAGAATCACGAACTAAGACGCAAAACCACGAATTGGGCAAATGTAGCCGGTCGCACTCTACAGAACATCATAGACAACGTGATAAAGAAAGTGCGACTAGTCAAACTTTTTCGAGATATGTAGTTGCGTCAACAAGAACATCATGGAAAATCTTAACAAAGCAATAAACCAATAACACACATGCACAACACAAGATTTACGTAGTTCACCTTAACTCAAGGCTACGTCCATTAAGAAGGAGATTCCACTATAATGATAAGGAGACATTATAATTTGTTGGGAATTACCACCATCGGAATAACATGTAGCTTTCTCGGTGTAAAGCCTTACACCGTATACTGTGAAGGAGATACCTAAGCCTTACATCTTCTCTTATCTTGTCTTCCGTATCCATTCTACCAAACCTAACTCTCTCTACCTATTCAATGCACTCATAACTCCCTTACTAGGCAACCTTAACAATACCCTAGGTATCAATTTATAGAGGGGTGTAGTGCAAAAAATCCCTTGTAGTTTTAACAATGTGTAAATAACATCCCACAATACCCTAAGTATCTATTTATAGAGGGGTGTAGTGCAAAAAATCCCTTTTAGTTTTAACAATGTGTAAATAATATCCCTTAGCGTGCTTTTTGTTGAAGAAATGAATTGTGCTCGGTAAAAAGACTATAACACCCCAAAGATGTTGTATACAATAATAATAAAAAATGGCACAAAGTTGAAACGCTAACTGAAATTTTTTATTATTGCATTTTATACCCTTAAATTTATACTTTTTTTATATTTATATCCATAAAATTTTAAAATTACCCTACTGAAATTATGAAAGAACCCTTTGTATAAAATTTGCCGATCCGTCCCTGCGTGTTGGAATATCTTCATGGGTTTGGCTCTTCTGCTACGCCGTACTCCGATCTGAGCTCGCCGGTTGACACTAGTTTGGGCTATGAGAATTAGAAATCTTGGCCTATGTCTGGTTCGCACACTATGGGGAGTGATTGGTGGGTGTGGTTGCGAGAAAGGTTCAACTCGTTCATCAACATCGCCTTCAATTTCATCGTCGTCGTCAATTCTCCTCTTCTTCGGTGGCTTATCGCCATCGCCAGAGTCCAATGAAGATGTCAAAGCATCAGGCATGTGTGCCTCGCGCCGAGTCTGACCCGGCGGCGACTCAGAATCGTCTTCTTAATTTCGAAGTTGTACCTAGCATTCCGGCGACGGACGCTCCGTTGCAGGTCGCGCTTCTGGGCCGCAGTGAGGGCGGCGCGGCATGCAAGATCTGCCTTTGACTACCTTCCCTTCTTCCTCTTCACGATCTGTCCCTCTTTTACCTTTGTTTACTTTCTATCTACATTTTCTCTCACTAAATCTCTCATCATTTTCAATCCATTCTTTCACGCCACGGCGGCGACACTCCATAATTCGACCCATCTTCGGCCGGTGACGATGTTGAGGCTTCTCCGGGCGCAATTCAACGACGCGGAGAGAGAAAATATTAAAAAATGGAAATTATTTAGGGAGCAAAAGAGACTTTAGAGAGGAGAGAGAAACAAATAAAAAAATAGAAATTATTTAGAGAGAGAGAGAGAGCCAAATTAAAGTGGAGAGAGAAAATATTTTTATTATATATAAACAAATAATTAAATAAGTGTATTATATATATTATATATAGAATACTTTAAAAAATATATATTGTAACTATAGAAACACCCATATTTATATATAGAGAAGGAGTAAGCGGTAGTTTTAGGTAGTGTACAAGTGTAGTTTGGTTATTAAAGGATAATTTTTAATAACATAATGAGCCATTTCATTTTAAGAGCTCAGAGGTCTTTATTTGTATACTTTTGAAATTACAAGATTAAATTTGACCACGAGTTATGCGAGGGATGTTAGTCGCACTCTTTTTAAATTACAGAAAATTTTTTACACTTCACCCTGTAGGGTTCCAAAACCTAATTTCAATACTTTAGAATCAGAAACTTTTTTTGGAAAAATAAATATTTACATAATAATGAATATATACATATAAATAAATATTTATGGAGTGTATATATATATATAAAGGGGACAGATATTTTTAAATGAGGTAAATTAATAAATTAAATATAATAATGAAACAATTTAAAGAAACATATAAAATATATAAGTGAAGGAGAAATTTTAAGGGAGTATTTTTATATATTTCCAAAAAATATATATAGAAAAATAAGGGAATTAAAAGAACAGGGCACGCGTTCCCGTACTGCCTCTGTCCTGCTTACAAGAAATTACTATATAAAATAGCTTTAAAATAAAAATAAATTATAAAACAAATACGAGTCACAATTGTTTCCCAACACTTGGCCGCCCATCGGAGGTAAATTTAGCACAGAAACAATCGTAGTCAGAGGTGGAGTGTCATGAGAAGGTAAAGCTTTTTCCTCCTGTATTCAGTAAAAAATAATAAGTAAAAAAAAGAAAAAGATTTATTTATTCCTTATAACAATGATTTTTGAAAATTATATGTTTCACTCGAGCAGCACAGTAACAGTTACTATAGGAACAGTTCTCTTTGCTTCTTATATTTGGATTTCACTCCATTGTTTATAACTATAATTTGGAAATTTTACAAATTTTCAGATTTTGATAAAGACATCAATCCCACAGAAGGATTTCTTCATCCTTCTGATGTTATCGCCATATATATATATATATATACACACACACGGAGTATTATATATACATCATCACTATTTGAATCTTGATTTGTTTTTTCCTTATATTGTTGTTGGAAGCTGCTGTGCAAAAGCAGGTTGAAGTTTGTCAGATTTAACTTCTTAGCATATTTGAGCTTTTGTTTTGGATATTTCATACTGCAGATTTATGTAAATTGAATTGTTCTGGTTTTTAACCTAATGGCACCATGATAGTTTTTGTGTCCATCTTTTATATTTTACAAAATCATTCCCATTTTGTGTCAAATACTATAAAAACATGGGGATACTGCTTTTGTTGATTTTATAGTTTATTTTTCTTAATAGGAAAGAAGACATGACTATTACTGAAGTAAATGGAGCTCCAAACAGGCTTGAGGTTTGTGACACAAATTGGTTATACAGTGGAATTATACATGAAAATAACTAATTTGTGATTTTTTTTTTTTTTTTTTTTTTTTTTTTTTTTCAGGGAAGGTTTAGTGCAATGGTAGTATGTTGGATTCTTGGATTGGGAACCCTCGTGTCATGGAACAGTATGCTGACAATTGGAGACTACTATTATGAATTGTTCCCGGTACTTAGCCGATAATCAATTTCTATCATTTTTTTTTTCTTTTCAGAATATGACTCTTTCCTATACTGATTTAGTACTGTTCTAGATGATAAGGGTGTATTGTTTTATTAAGTATTCACTGAATTACTTGCCAAAAAAAAAGTCTCTGAATTGACTTGATTTAAGATTAGAGCACTCGAGTTGGAGTGGTTTGTGGTGGCTTCATGATTCTTACCATGCTGTAGAGTATGAAGATATTGATATAATTTTCAGTCAAATGAAAGTTGAAATGAAGTTTGGATTCCTCCAACTTTCACCAATTTAAATTGATTCATTATAGTCTACAGCATAATATTAAGCACAAATTTCCCACAAAAAGAAATTGAATGTCACAAAACACTTATCTAATGTGTAAATTTGATTTTAGATGTACGTGCACCAATTTCTTTAATCAGATGTTTCTTTTGCGTGGCAGAAATACCATCCTTCCAGGGTACTTACCCTTGTTTATGAGCCATTTGCATTGGGTACAATCGGGATACTTTCATACTATGAGGCAAGGATTGATACCAGATGGCGTAACATATTGGGATACACCCTTTTCTTCTTGAGTACTTTGTTGCTCCTAGTTGTAAGTACTGCCACTACTCGATTTGTATAATTTTGTTGTTGATTTTCTGTAATTCACACCAATTTGTTTTAGAAATCCATGCTTTAAAGAAATTCAACTCAGAATTGTTCTTCCATTTTGCTTTCACTTTTTGGCAGTTGGATTTAGCCACATCCGGAAAAGGAGGGATTGGAACTTACATTGGTATATGTGTCATAGTTGCTGCTTTTGGGGTTGCAGATGCTCATGTTGAAGGTGGAATGGTGGGAGACTTATCATTCATGAGCCCTGAGTTCATCCAAGTAAGTCTTGTGGTTAGATGTATTTTCCTTTTTCATATGTTCTTTCACCACTTTTGCCTTCACTTTCTAGCTATTTGAATCGACTAACTAGATTTATGAATATTCCTGTTACGAATCTTGCAGTCATTTCTAGCTGGTTTGGCTGCATCAGGGGCTCTCACCTCTGCTTTGAGGCTAGTCACAAAAGCAGCCTTCGAAAAATCTGATAATGGTCTTCGCAAGGGGGCAAGTATGTATGGAATAATTTCAGATTTTTTATCATGAGCTTTCAAAAGTTATGTTGATAACTATTTCTGCTACTTCTTTTGCAGTGCTATTCCTTGCCATCTCCACATTCTTCGAGTTTCTATGTATATTTCTTTATGCAATCTACTTCCCCAAACTACCAATTGTGAAGTACTACCGCTCAAAAGCAGCCTCAGAAGGATCAAAAACTGTTTCAGCTGATCTTAAAGCTGCTGGCATTCAAACACAGGCAAGTTAAAAGAGTAGGAAATTTATTGAATAAGTTCTTAGTTTCCCAAACTTTAAGATAATTTTTGGAATCCATGCAGACTGAAGATCATTCTAAATCACTGGAGCGGTTGAGCAACAAACAGTTGTTCTTTCAGAACATAGATTATGCGTTAGACTTGTTTTTAATATATGTCCTGACTCTTTCGATTTTCCCCGGGTTCTTATATGAAAACACTGGATCACACCAGCTAGGTTCATGGTAAGTGTTCGTTTATGACAATGGTACCTAGCATCTTTAATGGTTAATTAACTTCCATTTTTGTCATGTCCTGTGGAACCACTAATTCTTCGAAAGCATATGGTTAGTATGTGATGTTTTCATAGCATTCACAATATCTGTCGATTTAAGAATTAATAAGAAAAAAAGAAAGTAGCTTGATATTTCTTTTTTACCTACTGGTTTACTGTAACAATTCTTCTCTTTACAAATTCTTAACTTTGGGATTGTGCATCAAGAGAGATGATTACTAAATGGGATTACATCATTTTCTTGTGGTCACCAAATGGCCTATAATAGTTGTAACTGAAACATATGTTACACAAGTTCAGTTTCATAATTCCTATCAGTGATTTCCAAACATCATTTTAATTGTCATGTAGTTTGAAACTTAGCGGCATACTATTTCGTGACCATATACTTGATAGCCGTGGAGCCAACACTCCTTGGAATTCTCACTTAAAATTGATAAGAACATGCCTACAATTAAAAGCTCCTTAATGATATGAGCAGAGAGATTCAATTGCTTTGACAGTTTTTAGGGCAGGTGGGGGAAGTAAACAATGTGGCTCTGACAATCACCTTTTTCATTAAATATTTTCTAGATTCAATGAGTTTGACTTCAAATTTGACGCTGCTGGTGAATCATGTAAATTTTAATTAGAAAATTTGCACCTTGTTGATCTTTCAGGTATCCACTTGTTCTGATAGCAATGTACAACGTCTGGGATCTAATATCAAGATACATTCCCCTCGTGAAGTGCCTGAAATTGGAGTCAAGGAAGGGCCTTATGTTTGCAATACTGTCCCGTTTCTTGTTCATCCCTGCATTTTATTTCACTGCAAAATACGGTGATCAGGGATGGATGATAATGCTTGTATCCATCTTGGGACTAACCAATGGTTATCTTACCGTTTGTGTCCTCACAGTGGCTCCCAAAGGCTACAAGGTTGGTTAACATTATTCCTAAGGATGTCAATTTTTATCGCCCCGCCGGGGCCCCGCCCCGTCCCGCCCCGTTAATAACGGATATGTGAACACTTGTTATACCGTTGGGGCGGACATGGATATAAATTTTGTACCCGTCGAGGGTCACGGGGCTGGTAAGGGTTCAATATACATATCCTAGGGGCCCCGCCCCGCCCCGCCCCGCATATAACTATATTTTATATATATATATATATATATATATATATTAATAAGTTATTTTAGCGGCTTACCCAATTACCCATATTTTATAATCCTAATTTGGGATATAAACTTGGTATTAAATTTGCTTTTGTTTTGGTTATGGTGGAAGTTGGAGCTTAGAACTTCTTGTGATTTGGTTGTATTAAACTTTTATTTTTGTTTATTATGTTCTCTGAATTATGTTACGTGCATGTTATTTATTTATTTTTTATTAGGATACATAATTTTATTTATGTTGTGTCATTCCTAGGCTTTGCACATTTAAATAGCAGGAGTTTAAGTTCCAAAAAGTGGGAGAAAAAAATTTGTTAGTGGGGCGGGCACGGGGGTACAGTATTTCCTAACGGGGCGGGGTTGGATATGAAAATCCAACCCGTCGCGGGTCTCGGGGCGGGCATGGACTTGACAAAAATTAAAAGGGGCGGGGCGGGATTTAGAGAAACCCGCTCCAAACCCGCCCCGTTGCCATCCCTAATTATTCCACCTAAAGTTCTTCGGGTACATAGTATAAACGTCCAAAATGTGCAATAATTCAAAATTTTCCTTCGGAAATTTATTTGGTTTCTTGTTTTGTAGGGTCCGGAGCAAAATGCATTGGGCAATTTGCTAGTGTTATGTCTTTTAGGTGGCATATTTGCAGGGGTTGCTCTTGGCTGGTTGTGGCTAATTGGGAATGACAAATTTTGAAGAGCCAAATTCTTGACCTTGATTAAAAAGTCAGTTCCCCACACAAAGTACTTCAAATCTGGATGGAGATAAAGCAGGAGCCAAACTGAGTACTACAGGAAATTACTGCTGGGCTCGCAGCAGAATCTGAATGCATCACTAATTTATTGTTAAAAGCTGTCCAACCCTTCAACTGGAATGTGTTTCCATGTATTAGAAATGTGATGATTTTTCGTCTTTTTTCGTTGTATGCCAGATGATAGTTTGTGTGGACATGATAAATAAAGATCAAGAATTGTTGTCTTATGCAACTTGCAGTTATACACAATTGAATTACTGCTATGGCTTTTAATTTGAGGTGGTTGAAGCCTCTATATGAAATTATTCACCTAATCATAATTGAGCTTTCAATACCTCATAAAATAAACAGATCAGGGAAGTTTAATTTTGATCCAGAGATTGTTGCCTTTTTGGAGTCCTTCAAAAATTTATATCAAATTTTCATTCTTGCATTAATTATCTAATATATTGTTGAACAGTTGCAATGGGAAATAAAATCAAGTTAGTTAATTTTGGAAAATGTTCACTTTGTCGTGTACTTTACTTGACTGTTTCATATATTAGAAATTCCCCATTTAATCTGCATGCATAGTTCTATATTTAATGAATACAAATATGTTTATGGTTATAATAGATCAAGTCATTTCAATTTAAGTAGTCAAATCTGTAGAATGTATTAAAAAGTGAGGCTCCAAGCGGGTATGAATTATTATTATTATTATTATTATCATTTTCTTCTCTTCCTTGTAGTCTTCCATTTCTCTTTTTTGGTCTGTGCATTTGTGTGCAAGTTGGTGATGGGGACATTTATTACATATGAAGATAAATGTATGTGGTTTTAACACACAGCATAACAAGTGACATGTATCTTATGTTCATTCATGTGGTGTGACAAGCAAAAGCATAGTGTGATCATAGTATGTTGGATTGTTCAACTAGGTTATGTTGTCTCATGGAACAGTAAGATCATAGTTTTTGTTCTCTCTTTAGAACTTACCATCACCTATATGACTTCTAATTTTATAAATTTTGAGCATTTTATTCTAGTATCTCTTCAAAATGAGTAATTCTAAACATTTGTTGTTGGATATAGTATTGTTCAATTGTGTAATTCTAGGTGTAATTTAGTTATTTTTGCTTAGCACAAGGAAACCAGCTTATATAGTTACTTTATTAAGCATTGTCATGACTTCTGATGGCCCCAATTTTCAATTTTGAGAGCACTTCAAATATATCCTCTTCATCACATGTATAATATCCTCTTTGTTCAGCAGTGATCCTTCGCTGTATGTATATATATATTTCTTTCTAAAGACTGTTTCTAGCAAGTGTTGGGATCTAGTGGACAACTGCATCTAACTACAACTAACGTGTATGCATACTGGGAGCTGTCGGATGTAGTACAGCACCCGTGCTATATTACAGATTGGGTGCTCTTCCATAGAGGTTCTTGGGGTACAAATTTCGTAAGAACTTCTTGGACAAAGGAAAATAAATAAAAATAACAAACTTGTCTGGAATCTTTAACACCAAGCAGACATCTTTCAATGCAGAATTATAAGAAAATATGAGCATCCTAATGTAATGTAACTAGCATAGAAATTCGATATTGGACTCTGCAATATAAAATTGAAATTCACAGTACTAATTGACTGCTGATCATTTCTGTAGCATTTGTACCCAAAAAAAACAGTATCTGCAGAACTTTGTAAAATATCTTAAGTTAGAAATATAGGTGGATATTTGTTTCTCTCTTTTTAGCAAAGCCCAACTAGCATAACAAATTCCTCCATTATTTCCTTGCTCCACCTAGACCACATATCAGTAGTTTTCCTCTGTATCAAAATGCAGCTACCTTGCCTCATTTCTTTTATGCATCATGAAACGAGTTAAATGTATCAGATGGATCCTAGTAAGTTGCACGTGTGTGAATTGTGATCCGTTCAATACAATACAATAATCGTATTGAATTGCAAAGGATTCCAAATTTCCAACTCATTAAAAATTGGTCTGCAATGATCTAACTACAAAGAGTTTACTCTGTACAGGAATTACTTACTCTCAAATCCCTACTGAATTTGGACATGCAGAAAATAAAAAATAAAAAATTCCCTAGGCGCCAAAAAAACTGACTCATTTAGATGTGAAGACATGCAATCAAGTCTAATTATGTCCCCAAATCATCACAGTGACAGCTTTTTAACCATCATTTACTGTCATTACTTAAAACTTGCATGCCTACAATCATTTTTACAGGAACATTTTAGTGCAACTCTTCACATTATTGACAACATTACATTTTCGTATTTTCTCCTCTGCAATTACAAAATTGCTTCTTAAAAGTTGTGTTAGCTTGGTTTGAAACTACTGCAAATCAAAATAAACCAGAAACATAGAACTATCATCATCAAATTGTTCAGAAATTTCATGACCCACTAATCAAAATTGAATCTTCAACACAGAAGATTCATAAATCTGATATGGGTATGTCAATGCGTAATTAAAAACATATAAATATACGAGTATATAAATCCGAGGACAGAGACCTTGATCACTCAAATGGCATTCTTCCAAAATTTCCTTCTGAATAATACCCAAAAATCTAAAATTAGATAAAAATCTATTGGATTGGACAATCATCAATCAGACTCGCATTGCCACTTGTGAGTCTGTGACCATATCAAAGCAATCCAGTCAAAATTGGACTCTTTATCACTTTATATATACACAAACAATATATATATGCCCTATCTTTACACAATTCCCACTGTAACAACACTCAATAAGTACACACCAAAACCCTATTCTGCCCTCTCTGTTTTCTTCCCAGTTCCCCCACCGTTTTCTGGTGTCACAATTGACGGTTCCGCCAAACTTTTTTCGATCGGTTTCCCGAGAAAATTGTTATTTTCCGGGAAAATTGAACTCAATGAAGGAAGATGAGGCTCTACCGGACAATTTGCGTTGCCGCAGAACCGACGGCCGACAATGGCGGTGCACACGGCGAGTCATGGACGACAAGAAGCTCTGTGAGATTCACTACATCCAAGGCCGTCGCCACCAACACAAGGGAAAAGACCCGGAGTCTCTGAAACTCCAAAGAAAGCCGAAGAACAAAAGGCGAAATCAAGACTCCGAGCTTCAGAATCTTGAAATTAGGGCAAGAAAGAGAGAGAGAGTTTCGAAGAAAGCGAAGCGGAGCCAAACGATCGGCGCTTCCGAGGCATTGGACGAGGCATTGAAGAAGATGAAACTGAAGAGAGGCGATTTGCAGTTGGAGCTGATCAGAGAGTTCTTGAAGAGGCAAGTGGAGAAGAAGAAGGAGAGAGAATCGGAGAGAAGTGACAGAGAAGTGACGAGAGAATTGCCCTATGGACTCATGGCAATATCGCCTTCGCCGCCGTCTCCGTCGCCGCAGCAACAAATCGGCAATGCCGGTCCGTGCAATGTCAAATTAGGGCTTGATTCGAGTTCTTTTCCAAGGAGGTGCTTTCGATCGAAGAACATCGAGCCAATTCCGATTGGTTCATTTCAGGTTTTGTTCTTTGACCTGTTTGTTGTATTGTTTGTTTGAACTTTGAACATTGAATTTTAATTTGAATATGATTTTGTTTTGTTTTGTTTTAATTTTGATTCATTTGTTTGTTTTTTGTGCTTTAGATCGTACCCTGTGCGCGAAAGGACAAGAATTTGAAGAAAAGAAGAAGGAAGAATTGCCATTGGTGTCGTAAAAGCAGTTATCGGATTCTAATAAAGTGTTCGACTTGCCGAAAAGAATTCTTCTGCACAGATTGTATCACAGAACGGTTTGTTTTTCCTCATTTGGATCACAAATATAGTTTTCAGTTTAAGTGGTACTTTTTCACAGGTCAAAGGTCAACCGTTCATGTATCTGCATCAATTTATTAAGTTTATAAATTGAAAAATGAGAGGAGATACTTATTTCGTTTTCCTTTCTTTTAACATTCTTCTTAAAATGTAGGCCCCCAAAAGTAGAGGAAAAAAGGGTGTGGTAAAAAAAAATATATATATATATATATATATAGAGTTAAAAAGGGCATCATTTGGTGGCCTAGAGTGGTTCCCCTCCCCCTAGTGTGCTAGAAAATAAAAAACAAAAAAAAAGGTGAGGAAAAGACTAAAATATATATATTTATTTATTTATTTTGGAAGTCAAATTGAGTTTTTTATAGGCTTGGGGCCCACATGTTAAATTTATTTTTTATTTTTCATTTTTATTATTTTCAATCTCACTATTTATAAGGGTTAGAGTAATAATAGTCTATGTTATATGGACTCTGAAACATGTGTCGGGTACGGGTATGTATTCATGGGTCAGACTTTTCAAATTTCGAAACATACGGTTAAATATTCATTTTATTAATTACTTTATTTTATTTTTTAGAGTAAAGTAATGTTTTTATCTAATAAAATGTTCAAAATAGGTATTTAATTCATTTTAAAGTAATAATATAATATAACTGAATGATTGGATATGCTTTTAATTACTTTATTTTATTTTTTAGAGTAAAGTAATGTTTTTATCTAATAAAATGTTCAAAATAGGTATTTAATTCATTTTAAAGTAATAATATAATATAACTGAATGATTGGATATGCTTTTTAAGTATATGTTCAACCAGAAGTGTCTCTCCTATATCAATGTCTGAGCAATAGGTGTCTGACACGGGTACATCACTACTTTTGAAAAGTCTATGTAACATAGGTAATAGTTTAATCTCACTATTTCATTTTTAGTTCTAAGGCATCCAACTTTTTTTGTGTGTGAAGAATGACGTCATCATAATGGCTCATGTCATTCTCCACTCACAAAAAAGTAACCTTAGTCCGACTTTTGGATGCTTTATCATTATCATGTAAAAATTTTGGGATCCATGGCCTAAAGATGCAACTTGGACGGGTTATACGGGTGTTAACTGGAGCACAACCCAAGGTGTCAAATAGCCAACCAAGCCGGAGCCCGACTATGCCTCCGACCGATGAGTTAGACTCATACCCAACCTTGCTATATAAGAGTGGCATAAAAAAAACAAAATTTGACTATTGCTTACATGGAAGAGGAGAATGGGGTACATGTAAAGATTGTAAACTAATCTCGGAGAAAGTTTGACAAACCAAAATAGGCTGGCCTAGTTTGGTATGCAGTAATGGAATGGGCATTCCATTTTTTTTTTTTTTTTTTTTTCCTAATTGGTATTCACACACACATACTTCCACTAAGGCTTGAACCCCTGACCTCTCTTTGGGAAGTAGGAGCCTGGTACTGCTAGGCGTTGATATGGGTATTCCATTTCAACCATTCCCTTGTTTGGTATGACATTTAAAATGGGAACGACCATTCATTCCAAGGAATAAAAATTCATTTCACATCTAAACGGATGGAATGGAAATTTATTTCAAGGAATGAAATTCTTGGCCATCGCCACCGCTACCACCATTGCCTTCTGCCACCACCGCTGTCGCCATCGCCTTCCACTGCTGCCGCCGCCTTCCGCCAGCACCACCGCCACTGCTTTCCACCATCTTCCGGGATAATGGGGTTATCTCGGGAGAAAGTTTGACAAACCAAAATAGACTGGCCTAGTTTTGGTACACATTCCAATCATTTCCTTGTTTGGTATGGCATTTAAAATGGGAACGACCATTCATTCCATGGAATGAAATTCTTGGCTTCCGCCACCACTACTGCCACCGCCTTCCACCACCACCACAACCTTTGTCTTTTGCCACCACCGCCGTCGCCACCGCTTTCCACCGTCTTCCACCACCACCACTGCTTTGCACTGCCTTCACCCTGCCACCGCCTTCCCCCACCACCACCATCGCCTTCCACCGTCGTTGCCTTCCACCGCTTCCACCGTCGTTGCCTTCCACCACCACTACATAGAATGATGATTATCATTTCATTCTTATTTCATTTCATAGTTGCTACCAAACAATAGAATGAAAATGACCATTCCATTCCCATTCCATTTCACTTCTGAATACCAAGCTAGGCCTTAGTATTAGACCTCTTAGTCAATGAATCAAAATGTAATGAAAGGACTTCAACGCATAAAATGGAAAGACTTGAAAGGTAGTAAAGAACACAATGGGATTGGAAGGAAAATATATATCTTGTGGTCTAGAATGACGGATTGTATTAGGAATGTGACAAAAGAAACTCTAGGAGAAACTAAATGAAAGAAATTTATTAAAAATTAATATGGTGATGGAATGATGAAATACAAGAAGCAATAAAAAACTAAAGAACGAGTTCTAAAGAATGACAAAAAAGTAAGAAACAAGAGAATTTAAAGAAATACAAAACAAATTAAATATGAAGTTAAATAGATGGTAGCAATAGCTAAAGGCAAGGCACTAAATAGCATGTATGAAAAGTTAGGAATAAAAGAGGGTTAAATAGCTATTTACAAATTAGCAAAGAATAGGGAGAGGTTGACGAGAGTCATGGATCAAGTTAGGTGTATTAAAGATATAAATCAAACATGATAAAGATATATTAGAAAGATGGACAAATTACTTTGAACAATTACTAAATGAGGACTATACTAGAGAAGAAGTCGTAAGTAACGACTTGTATGTAGGAATGGTAAATGAAATTCATAACAAGGAAGTAGATGTCATATTTAAAAAATGGGTAAAAATTAGGCCCTTGGACTGGAAAACATACCTATAGAGGCTTGGAGAATTTTGGAAAGATAGGCATTTAATGGTTAACAAGGTTGTTTAACAAAATTCTACGAGAAGAAAGAATGCCAAGAGACTGGCAGAAAAGCACCATAGTACCAATTTATAAAAATAAAGGGGATATACAAAGTTGTGGAAATTATGGAGGAATTGAATTAATGAGTCATATCATATAATGAAATTGTGGAAAAAGAATAATATAGCAAAGATTAAGGATAAAAACATCAATATCTGATAACCAATTCGGATTTATGCCAGGTAGATCCACAATGGAAGCCTTAAGCCATATACTTAATAACACAACTTATAGAACATAGGAATAAACAAAAGAGAAGTGCTAGGGGCAGTTGCTTGGGCGACTGTCCCTCCACACTTCTCCTTCCATTGGTGAAAAAAACCGATCATTGAAGTTATAATTAATAACACTTTCCTACTTTTAGGGGACTTTAAATGCTTAACATTTTAGGACCAGATTACCCTTTTAAGATCTTCCCTCTTCCTTTTCTTTTCTCTCTCTCTCTCTCTCTCTCTATATATATATATATATATATGCTCATTGTGGATGGATTCTTTATTGGGTTTTCATCATTGAAAAATTTAATTTAAATAATATTATGGGATTGAGTTTTAGCGGATAGGGAAAAAACCACGGTGAGCATATGTATATATATATAAACAATTAAAAGCAACTGAAAAAAGAAAAAAGGGAAAGAATGAGGGTTATATACATGTAGGAAAGAAAAGAAAGATGTAAAGTAAAAATTTAAAAGGGTAATTTTGTCAAAAAATGTTTAAGTTTTTAAAGTTCCATAAAGTTGGAAAGAGTTAATGATTGGTTTTTCCACCAATAAAAAGAGCGAGTGTGGAGGGATAGTCACCTAAGCGACTGCCCCTAGCACTCCTCCAAACAAAAATACTTGCATATGGTTTTCTTAGATTTGGAGAAGACATGTGATAGAGTGCTAAGAGACATAATTTGGTGGGCTCTACAAGAGACCAAGTACCTATAAAACTTATAACTCTTATTCTGGATATGTATAGTGAGGCATTGACTAGAGCTAACACTACATGCAGGAAAACTAATGACTTCCCAATAAAGGTGGGGCTACACCAAGGATTGGTATTGAGTCCATACCTATCTGCAATAATATAGACGAAATAACGAAATATACATTCGAGACATCATCCCATGTTGTATGTTATTTTGGGGATGACATGGTATTAATAGATACAAAGCCTTAGCAACAAAATTAGAAATATGGAGAAAGGCATTAGAATCAAGGGGCCAAAGAAATAGTAAAACTCAAGCAGAATATATGACATGTAAATTTGATAATGTAGAAAACAATGACAATATAAAAATTAAACTGCAAAACCAAAAAGTTACTTAAAAGAACTCTTTCTGTTACCTAGGATCTATATTACAAAAAGATGGTGATGTAGTACGTAGGATTGGAGCCGAGTGAACAAAATGGCAGCAAGCTAGTAGTACCCTTTGTGACAAACAAATACCAAATAAATAAAAATAAAAATTATATAGATTGGTTATTAGGCCGACAATATTGTATGGAGTGGAGTGTTGGGCGTTGAAAACGACACAAGTGCAATGCAATCGTATAGCAAAAATAAGGATGCTACGTTGGATGACAGGAATCACTCAAGAGATAAGATAAATAATGAATGTGTGAGGGGAATATTAGGTATAGTGCCCATAAATGATAAAATCGGGTATGGTAGACTTAGGTGGTATGGTCATATTTAACGTAGACTCGATGATGCACCTATTAAAAGAGGAAGGGTTGGAAAGAATGGAATAAAGGCAAGGATGATGATGATGGTGGTCACATTAGTCAAGTTAGGCTCGGATTACTCATATTTTAATAAGAACATTATTACTATATAGGTCAGGTTCATGCTTCTCAGCACCTCTGGTCAAGCCTAACTTGAATATGAATTGAGGTCAGGTTGAGAATCTTCAACCCAATTGCCAGCCTAAGCAACAAAAATAACTGATGAAACCCATTCAAAGCCGGTTGGGCTTAATTTGGCCATCCAAGCTCCTTCGGTCTCTACCCTCTTGGAAGTTCCGCCCTTCTCTACACTCCTTTAGAAGAATCTAATAAATTAAACACTCTTTACTAGCTTAAGCTTTTTGAAGAATTGTATTTAACGTGGTTTCAAAGCTTAGTAAGGAAGAGTGTTAGTGGATATAAATAAATTTACATTCTCTCTAATAGCTTGAGCTTTGGCCTTAAGAGAAGTTGGTGATTCACAAGTTACACATGTAACGGGATTTTCACTGGGCTCTGAGATACGCAACAAAAGAGCCTATCCAGAAACCAGACAAATAGGCCTGGTGACCCTGTTGGGCTCCTGAGACAGCATCCCTAAAGCAAACTTTTTCTTAGGTATCCTTTGAAGCAGGGACAATATATTATAATCTTTTACACACACCAATTCAAACTTACTTTCATGCAGTGTATAATTTAAATGGGATTAGGATCACAGGCAAACTATAATCTTTGACATGCAATTTAGGAATTTTGACAAGCAAGAAGTTAGGATGTCATGCCCAGTATGTCGTGGAACTTGCAGCTGTAGGGCATGCTCAAAAAATCAATCTAAAGACCCTAAACACAAGGTATGATGTCAGAGTTGGCTGAATTGTGAACTATGGCATACTTGCTTAGGTTTATGCTGACACTTCTGTTTACACATAAATCCTGTTTCAGGATCTTTTTAGGGATAGAAAGCTGGTTGACAAGCTTTATCTTCTTCATTATCTGATCTTTATGCTACTTCCGGTACTGGAACAAATAAATAAAGACCAGAGAATTGAGCTGGAAATAGAAGCAAAAATAAAAGGTAAAGGTTGAGTATTTTGTCCCAGATTCTCCTCCCAAGTCATATTTTTATTTTTATATTATAAATATATTTTCCCGAGTTGTATCTACCTGTAACAGGCAAAACACCCTCAGAAGTCCAGATTCAGCATATTGGATTTGGGAACAATAACTTATATTGCTGGTATGTCTAATACTGCTTAAAATTTTAATGTAATTATGAAAATTTACAAGTGTGGTGTCCTTTGATTTCCTACGCAGCAGTAACTGCAAAAGTTCTATTGTGGATTTCCATAGAAAATGCACAACTTGTTCCTACAAGTTATGCTTAAGTTGTTCTTTGGAGATTTGTCGAGGAAGTGCACTGGGAAATATTCAAGAATCTCTCTCCAAAAACCCCAATAGAAGGAAAGCTTGTATGACTGGTGACAAGCTTCTGTCGAATGCGAAGCATATAAGCATCTCAAGGCGAAGCTGTGACAGTACATACCTTGCTTCTTCCATGTTATTGCTAAACTGGAAAGCTTGTGATGATGGCAGTATATCTTGCCCACCTGTGGCTTTTGGTGGTTGTGGTGATGGCCTTCTTGATTTAAGATGTGTCTTCCCTTTCAACTGGACCAAAGAGCTTGAAGTAAGTGCAGAAGTAGTAGTTTCCAGTTCTGACTTTCCAGGGACTTCAGATGTTTCTTCATGCTGCTCACCATGTAGAGGCATGGATCATAAAGTTGGTGGCACCAAGTTCTTGCAAGGAGTGGTTGCAAGAGAAGATTCCAATGACAACCTTCTATATTATCCTGCTGTACAGGATCTTTGTGATGAAAGAATTGAACACTTCCAGAAGCACTGGGGTAAAGGTCATCCTGTTATAGTTCGAAATGTGATTGAGGGTGCTTCGGATTTGAGTTGGGATCCAGTTGTCATGTTCTGTACTTACCTTGAGAAGAGCAGTGCCAAACCTCAAAGTGACAAGGACTCCGTTAAAGCTACAAATTGCTTGGATTGGTGTGAGGTCAGTGTTCTTTGTCAAGTCATATACTATTTTTGAACTTTTTGGTTGCTTACTTTCCATTGTCAAACCATAGGAAGAAATGCAATATCCCCCTCCCCCCACGTCCCTGTGTGTGCATGCACGCGTGACAGTTAACAATTGTAGAGACTTTTTGAACATTATTCATTGTTAACAGCAGGAATCTGTTAAAATTATGATGCAAAAGAGTGCCTACAGAATTATGGCTCCTTGTTTTAAAATAGATCTAGAAGTTCTTTGAAAGCATACCAAAATTTCAAGGTTCCATATGAGCAATATCTTGTTTATCCCATTTATGATGTCTGGATCTAAGAAACCTTTGAAAAATGCTGCCTCAATATGTCAGTGCTTTTCACAACTTACATGTGGAGGCAATAAGAAACATGGTTTCTTCAACATTATGAAGCTTTTGTGAATTTCAAGCTGATCTTCTGGGGTTTTCCATTAAAAGTTTCTAGAGTTTTATGCGTACTTGCACCTTTTCTTTTGGTAATTAACATGAACCCTCTATTTTATATCTCACCATCTATTATATAAACTTTTTGACATCTCTTGTTGACCCTTTTTATGTTGCCCCAATATGATTCTAATTTCATTATTTCACTCAACATTTAGTTTTCATTGCGTTTGGCTGATGTTAAGGATATGACCTTGTGTTCCAAACCTAGATATGGGAAGGCAGTATATCAATAAAGTTTGCAACCTAGGCCTAACACCTGATTATGCATACCAAACAATTCTTTGTAAGTTGTAAAAGGTACCTTTTCAAGGGGGGTGGGTGTGGAAGTACATTGTCATATGCTGTGTGGTGGCTTAACTTCATTCCATGGGAAAAGAAGGCTACAAATACGATATTCAACTGGTGTTTTGTTGATTTTCTCATGGGATTCAGTGTCACTTAATAAAAAGTACCACTTCTTGTTTTGGAGGAGTTGCAGTTGATAACTGAACTTGCATGGTGTTATTTTGAAGATTATATTTTTTGATCTATATGCTGTATATGTCCTGATTATGTTATAAAAGGAAAATTTTGTTTCGCCACATTATGCTCTTCAGGAAAGTGAGTTTTCTTATATTTTAGTTTTCTGTTTTCTTGCAGATAGAAATTGGGGTTAAGCAGATATTTATGGGGTCTCTGGAGGGGCGGACACATGCAAATGTGTGGCGTGAGATGCTGAAATTTAAAGGTTGGCTTTCTTCTCATATATTTCAAGAACAGTTTCCAGCTCATTATTCTGAGATAATACGCTCTCTACCACTTCAAGAGTATATGAATCCAACATCCGGTCTGCTAAATGTAGCTGTGAAGTTGCCGCAGGAAATACCAAAGCCTGACTTAGGTCCATGCATTTATATCTCATATGGAGGACCTGAGGAACTTATGCAGGGTGATTTTTTGACAAAACTATGTTATGAATCTTATGATGTGGTAGGTCTACTTCCCTCCAGTTGCATTGCAATTACTTTTTCCCTTTGCATTGTTCTATTTATTTTGGATTCATGCATTTCATCTTCAACATATCTGCACCCTAATGAATTTTTTCTTCAGTAGTATACTATACCAGTACAATTAGGCATGATATGCATCTCTGCAACATGGTACATCGCTTCAATGATTTTTAGTGAAGAACACTCATCCTTCTAAGAAGTTGGCAATCTGAGATTTTTTTGTTCTTTGCGACACATTAAACTGATGCCCAAATCCCTTCTATTTTTCTATGAAAAAGTCCAAAAATTATGTGCTATGGCATACTGTTTTCTGCCATGCCCTTATTTAGTCCATAAAATATATTTTTTTTGAAGAACCCCACAGAGTTTGTTTGGATACAAAGCCCCATCCCATCTATTTAGCAATAATGTTGAAAACATTTTTAGGCAAAATATATATGTGTGTGTGTATGTTATGCTGTGGTCCAAATTTTGTTTCGGCTCTGGTTATGTCGTGACTCAAAATTTTTTTTTAACCCGTTTTTTGCTTGCTGGTTGTGGACCCTGTTTAATATTCTCTTGTAGCCCGGTATATAAGGGCACTTGGGGTTTGGAGTGGAACAACGAGAGACACTCAAATCACAGGAAGAGAGAGAGAGAGCAAGAGCTAGGGTTTCGGGGTTGGAACTTGTATTCTCCTGATTTTTGCATAGTGAAATCTTTCATCAGATCTTCACTGTGGCGTAGGCACAACTTGTGTCGAACCACGTGAATATTTGAGTTCTTTGTGTGTGGCGTGTTTACATTTTAGTCGTGATTCATAATTCGTTCTTGGTTCTCTGCGTTTGTCGTATATTTCAGATAAATGATATAGTAAATATGAAACTGATGGTCATTCTTTGTCATGGTTGCCCCACAACTGCCATTGGCATCAGCACAACTACCAACACCACCAAAGGCAGCCCAAGTCAAAGTCATGGTTTTTAGCACTACTTGTTTGAAGATAATCATCTCTCCCTCAAACCATATGTGGCACCTCTGATCATAAGTGGGGGAATTTCCTCTGTCTCCACTCATTACCATGTGTACATTCTGTGTGTCTCTTGTTAGCAGTGCTGCAATGAGTTACAAACTAAAATCTTTCTCAGTTAGCATTATTATTTGATACTGATATTCACACTCTTTATTTTTAATCTTAATGGTTTATGATATCATCTGTAATATATTTTTCCGCTTCGGACAATCCTATCCTTACATACTGGGCTTGGAGGATTATGTGTTTCCATATTTTTTATTTTACCACTGCCTAGAAGGATGGATCCTATTTGCAACGTACTGCAGATGATCCTTCATTTCAAATTGTGGGATGATTCTATCCAGAGGCTGGTTTAAAATTGGTGTTATCAATGTTTGAAATGATTGGAGTAGCTCTTTAATCTCTATTATTTGGATTGGGTGAGTTCAAAGAGTTCTTTCAATTAATATGTTTCTTGCCGTCTCTCTGTGCTAATGTGTTTCTTTTTGTCCTTCGTGTGGATTCTTCTGTGATACTCTATTTGTATGTTGGTCTGAAGGCAAAAAATTAGTTCTTTAAGAGATGGCCCCCAGTTCACATTTTAACAAGTAATACACATTTATTTTTTTGTAGATCTTAGTAGATTGTAATATTATTATTTTTTATTTATGGAAGATGGGTGAGAATTAGCTATATCTCATAGGCAGGAAACTTTTGGTCTTAACTGAAGTATGTGATCTCACTACTTGCTAGAGGACAATGGAGGCACCATCTGCCACCCTACTAAATATACCAAGTTCTATGCACAGAAGGATGAGGATGTAGCAACATAGCAAGTTAAATTATATTGTCCTCATTTTTCTTGTCTGAACAAACATCTTAAATTTTAATTATTGCCATAGATTAAAAAAGTAATTATATGAATTTTATATTGAAGCATCATAATGTACATTTCAATTCTCATGCACGCCCTCCTGTATATATAATTCGGGGATTATCCAAAATTATCCTCGTACCTATTGGAATAGAATCTAGCCAGTATATATGCTGGAGGTTTTTTATTATTTTTAATTTTTAAATGATACTTGTCATTCATGCTATTGCCTTTCGTGCTCAGGTTAATATTCTGGCACATGCTACGGATGTTCCTATTTCCACAGAACAGCTTTCTAACATCAAAAAGTTAATGAAGAAGTATAAGGCTCGAGATCATAGGGAGGCTGCTACCATTGATAAAAAAGAAACAAATGAAGTGAAAGGAGAATCACCACTGCATAGTGAAAATACTGAAGAGTTAGGTTTGCAGGACATGATTGGAGAAGGGTTGGACTTACCCAATGGAGTTGCTAGTGTATCTTTATACTCTGGTGACTCACATAAAGACAGTATCTTAAGTGTTGAAGACAAAGATAGGTCCCATGCCAAGGAACATGATCCTGAATTTGATTCTGAGGCCTCAATACTTCTTAGCGGAACCATTCAGAGCTCTGAAGAATCAGATGATCAGAATTCTGTCCAGGATGATATAGAGAGCGCTGGTTATTCTAGAAAGAAACTAGAATATAATTCTTGCGGTGCCCAATGGGACATTTTCCGGAGACAGGATGCCCCAAAGCTTATAGAATACCTCAGAAGACACTCTAATGAGTTCAGCCACACATATTGCTTTCCAAAGCAAGTAAGATAAGAACAGAGCAAACCATAGCTTCTACTATGCGATCAGACTATCAGAGCTAATGTTGATTTAGTTGTGCATCTGCCACAGGTTGTTCATCCAATTCTTGATCAGTGTTTCTTCCTTGATGCAGCTCATAAAATGAGGCTTAAGGACGAGTTTAGTAAGTATTATTTTCCAGTCATTCATTTTTATTTTTATTTATTTATTTTTATTTATATATTTTTTTTTGTTGTTGTTGTTAAAATTAGCATAAACTTTAATGAGTTAACCTACTTATCACTTCTTTCAGATATTGAACCATGGTCTTTTGAACAACACCTTGGAGAAGCTGTCATCATTCCTGCTGGATGTCCGTATCAAATTAGAAAACTTAAGGTAGTGGCACTTTGGCATATGTTGACTTTTTTTGGCACTTATCAATATATGTATGTATGTGTGTGTGTATATATATATATATATTGACATTTTTGGCATGTGCAACATGTGTGTTTGTATCTGTTTTAAGTTTTGTAGAGTAAGCTTTTAATTGCACGCAAGTTTCTCATTTAGTGTTATCGGAGATATTTTGATGGAAAGGAGAAGCCTATTTCTATGCTCAAGTTCTCCATTATTTCCACTCTTTTTTGTTCGGTCTCTGGGAGAGATTTTCGTTCTGTGGAGGAGATTGTTATTTTTTGGCCTCTTTGAAGGCTTGAGACAATATGTGGCTTTGTGTTTCTTTGGGATTCGCTCCCCTTTTTGAGCACTTTTTATAAAATTTTTACTTATAAAAAATAAAAAAAAAAAAAAAAAAAAAAAAAAAAGAGTTTCTCATTTAGTGTAGTCAACACAACCTTACAGCATCAGCTTGATTAAGGAGTAAGACTTTTCTGTAAGTTTAATGTATTTTTCTGCAGTCCTGTGTTAATGTCGTTTTGGACTTCATTTCACCGGAAAATGCCAAAGAATGCATCAATTTGATTGATGAACTGCGTCTACTTCCTGTACATCATAAAGCCAAAGCAAAAATGTTAGAGGTAAATTTCATAACAATCTTAATTACTTGTATCTTCATTCCTTGATAATTATTCTTATTGGAATGCATCAAAATAAAAAAATGGCTTTAACAGGTGAAGAAAATGACCCTTTATGGTATCAGTGCAGCAATTAAAGAAGTCTGTAAACCTAACACGTGCAAAGTGAGTAATCTTCTTGAAACACGAAATCTTACTTTGTGCCTCATGACTGATTTCTGTTGCTTGCAATTCTTTGGTGTTGATAAGCTTCTGTAAAATTAGTCATCATATAGCACATGCTTGTCAAAGGTAATCCTTCCAGGGTATCTACTTCAAATCTGCCAGTGTTGTATTGCTTGTGGCATTTCTTAAGTATAAAACGATTAAAAATGTCATGTTCTTGAATAAGGATGTGTGATTTTAACTGCTAGATCTTTTACAATTAAAGTTTTCCACACATATTATTTATCACTTAAAATACGTTACATAATTCTTTTAAGTACCCTTATATCACGTCCCACATTGCCTGGGGAGAAGTTGCAGGCTATTATATGTGTGGATGCCTTCTAACTATGTAGATTCATTTTGAAAACCTCGAGCATGAAGAGTGTACAAAGAGAACAATATCTACAAAACAGGGCGGGTCGTGACAAATGGTATCAAAGCCAATCCCTAGCCAGAAATGGGGGAGTGTGCGACGTCTTACATTGCCTGGGGGAGAAGTTGTTGGCACTTACATGTATGGATGCCTCCTAACTGTGTTGACGCATTTTGAAAACTCGAAACATGGAGTGTGTGTAAAGCGGATGATATCTACACAATGGGGTGGGTCGTGACACAACCTGAACGCACCAAATTATTTTTTATTACATTATTGCTTGAAAAGTAATGAAGCCCCTCTATTTAGCTATCTTTATTTTACTTAAATAAAATCATTTTACCTTAGAAAAAAAAAAAATAATGACTTTAAAGAATATGAATATCTAGTCATGTTCTTGTGTCCTTGAATTTGAGTATTTGATAATTGGACACTTAAATAAACACACACACTACAAACCCGTCTAATTAACGTAGCACTCAATAATGTTGCTTATTAGCATCTCTGCCACCTGAAATCCACTTTTAGGAGGAATAGGGTTTTTGGGAATGTATGCTTTGTAACCACTAATTACTTTGTGTAGTAGCACAGATCTTTGATTCTTTGAAATGCGATAATTTTATCACTTTATGTCTCATGTTCTACGGTTGGTGGATGTAATATTACTTGTTATTCTATAAGTTATTATTTTAAAAAGAAAATAAATACAATTTAAACCATAATGTTCCGACATGCTGTGTTGGGTAAATGCTTATATGATGTGTTATTTGTTAGTCTGCTCAAGTTTAAATATCTGAGAAAATTTTGATATATTTTATCTATGATAAGTTTAGCAAGAAGGTTCTATGTCCATTTCTTTTATAACTCTACACAATCCAGGACCAGTGATGAGTTTATGAAGCGACGACCGAAAATCCAAGAGATTCATGGGAACCTTATATCATCATCATTCACCGTATCGTGACCTACATGGCAATTTTGTTATGTAAGTAGCATGTATTCTGTGTAACATTTTTTGCTTCATCTGTGCATTCCCTCCTTCCATTTTCCTAACCCCTCTCCTCCATCTTCGCATTTTGCTTATGTATACAAAATAATTATCTGTCAGTACATGAAATAAAATGGGATAGAAACAATTTTTATGTATGTTTTTTTTTTTTTTCCTAAACAATTTTATGTATGTTTCAAAGGCCTTTTGGTAGCTCTGTCACTTGTGAAACAACAAACAATAATGCAGGCTGAATGATATATGAGCTTTGTATTTAGTGTTTTTGCTATTATAATCAATATATAAGAGTAATGATCTTTTGCTCAGAGGTGAACAAAGAATGCCAAACAATAATATATTTTTGCAACGGTCATTGTGGATAAATTTCTTGCTCATTTTTGCAATGTATAATACAATAATATATTTATATATTGGTGTATTCTTATAATGTATACTTTTGTATATTTGTATTTGAAAATAAAAAAGTTGAAGCAAACCTGGGGCTGGGCCGGGTACTGGGCCTAACCAGATGATTGACCAGCTGTCTCTATCATGCCCATCCACCTAGCTAGGGGTCCAGGCCGGGCCGGATACCAGCTGGCCAATGTTTGCTTGCCCCTGGACCTTCACATTTGTATAGATGTTCAAATTGACAATATAATTTCTTTCCCTCAAATTTCCAAGGGAATGGTCTCATTGAAAGACCCTCACAAGGAATTCATGTGGGACAGAAGATTACATGTATTCGATGGTAAATTATGGGTACTCTAAGAAATCCAACAGTACCCTAATGTCCAAAAAAAAGAAGAAAAAGAAGTTAAATAAAATAAAATAAATAATTCCCTTAAATTGTTGTGTATTGTGATTTAAAGAAACCATTTTGCAACTTGAGAAACAGTGTGACTACATGATACATATTTTGAACTTTATGGTCGATCATCAGGTGTTAGAAAGGTCATGAGCCAAAAATGAACAAGAAAAACGTCATAAATCATAGTAAATGTTATTACTTTTTATTTAGGCTCTGTTTGTTTGGGCGTAAAATATTTTTCAGAAAATATTTTTTTTATTTTTTGATGTTTGGTTGTCGTAAAACATTTATGAAAAAAAAAAATTAAAATTTAAGAAAAATAACTTATACATCAATTTTCGGCAAGTTATTTTACATGTCCCGTCCGATGGATTCGACCTCAACCTTGACGTAGACCTTTACCAAATACTAACAAAGTAAAAATAAAAGAATATTTTACCTAAAAAAGAAAAATATTTTCCAAAAAGAATATTTTACATCGAAACAAATGGAACCTTAATTTTAAACTTTTTAAAATGATATATGATGGAATTTGAACCTTGATTTTCATTATTAATTACTCCATATATGTTATTGTCAACCAATATTACATGGTTGAAAAACCAATCTTTCCGATTGTCAACCCTACACTATGATTTTTATTTTTATTTTTTTATTTTTTTATTTTTTTGGGTAAAGCAAACAAAATCTCTTTTGTTTAGGTCCGGACTCGAACCCCACCCCTCCCCTACACTGTGGTTGACACTATTGAAGATTAATCTTTGTTATATATAAAATTTTAACAGTAGAGCTTCATTACTGAATCACCCATGGAAGATCTCAAGCCAATGGGCATAACCATATAGATAATTTTGATGGGATGACATTGAAGGAGTCAATGATTGAGAGCTGATTATTATTTTCTTTAATTCCTTTTCAATGGATTATAGCTGTAATTTGAGGCTGACCAGTAGTATAATCTTCCAAGTGGAGATCATTTTCCAAACAATAATGGCAGACTTTGTAAACTGAACCCTACCTTGTTTCAACCCACTGACGAAAATCTCACTTGTGGCATGAATTGACAGCCATATATACCGTGATGAAGTTGATGTTAAATGCTTATTCGCTGTCATGTTTATAACAAGTCGTTTATACGTATAACTATTGGTGCTGATACATGTATCTGGCTAATTTCGAAGTACAGCTGATACACCTGCTTCTATAGCCCGAGCAATGAAGTCAATTATCTAAGGATGATACTTTAGATCTCTGCCTTGATTGTAGCCCCGATCCTAAGACTCCTGAGTCTGCTATTGTAATGACCCGAACCTGTGGGTTCGAATCGTTAATCATGTCCTTACCTGAACTCAAGGTCACTTAAGTCAACACTTCAAGTTTAGTGTCAAAAACATCATCCTTAGGTCATATTTATGCTTCACAATGCTCTATGCAACTTCTCAAGTTTCTAGAGATATCAAAAAAAAAAAAAAAAAAAAAAAAAAAAAAAAAAAAAAAAAAAAGAGACAGTTCGGTCTACTGAAGTAAGCTTCGGTTGGCCGAAGTGAATCCCCCTTGTACTGGTTGACCGAAACACAAATGGGAGAAGACTTTAGTAAAATTGGAATTTAAGTGTTGAGTCGAAACTTCAAGTCTTAGTAAATTCATTTTGTTTTGGATCGAATTGATAAATGGCTATGATGATGTAAAGAAATCAGCTTTTATCAGGATTTTGAAACTTTGATGTTTTTTTTTTTTTTTTTTTTAATGGTAAAGCAAATACATACTCTTTTGTTCACGCCCGATCCCGACTTGAACCTCTCTCATCTTTTTTAAAAATAGGGAGACTATACCAATAGACTAAAGGCCCTTTAATTTTAAGCCTTAATGTTAATTCAGTACCCGATAAACTTTCTTGAAGATATTGTTTTTCTACGGAAAAAAGTCAAAAACAAATTTCAAAAATTGTCGTTGACATGTATGTTCATTGATGGGAAAAATGGCAAATACAACGCAAAGAGTGTGAGAAAAACCATGTCCTGCACACGCCTCTCACTTTCCGACTACAGTGGCAGCATTTAATAAATTTTTTGGAATCAAAACATTAAATGGTTATTCACATATGAGCTAGAGAAATTGTTCAAAACTATATAAAATATATTTAATAATAATTTACTAAAAATACACACACCTCAATAATTTAATCATTGATAGGTACCCAATAGTGAATCCTTCCCTTTTCACTTTTTTTATCGGTACCGAAAAAGTGAAATTCTCCAAAATGAGGAAATCCGAGTCAATGCGAGTAACAAAAGGGCAAATGAAAACTTCGATTAGTCTTATGATAACAAACTAGTATTAGAGAATTTGGATGCTTTCTGTGTAGACGCATGTTTAAACTTATGAACGCTGAGTGTGTAATGTAAAATCGCGTGACTTAAGTGCTGACAGGTACCCTTTTTTGCTTCCGCTTTTGGATAATCCAAATTCCAAGGGCTATCTCATAATTAATTAACTTCAATTTTTGTTCAGCAAGTGAAGTCCAATCATTTTCTAACCAAACCCTAATTATTAACACATTATTATACATTCATGCATGGGTCTTGCCTACTTTTACCTCGCCAGAACTAACAATGACGACAACAACAATCCCTTGTCAAAAAAGAAAAAAAAATAATAAATAAAAATAAAAAAGAATAATGTTTTCCAACCAAGCCGTAAATTAGTAACACTAATAATTAGGGTTACATTCATGAGTCTTACCCACTTCTTCCATTTCCACACAGTCTCAACAATGACGACAAATGATCAATAACAAACACATTTCTTGAAATGAAAGCATTAGCAAAAAGAGACCAATCATTTCATTTCTCGAAATTAAAGCATTACCAAAAAGAGGCCAATCATTTCATTTCTTGAAATCAAAGGGATTAGCAAAATTGAAATGTGAAGAGGTCCCGTTTTCCATTTTAGTTTCTTTTCTACACGACTTCTTTCTATCCAAACAAACAAACAAAACTTTTGGCAAGAAAATTGAAGTCCATAACAATGGAAAAAACACAGTGCCAAAGACGTAATCCCACTTTTGGAGATTTACTTATTCAAACACTTTGAATTGCTTTTTCTTTGGTCGGTTTGAGAGGGAGAAAGACAGAGAGACTCTTTTGGTCTGTTGATAGTCAAAAAAAAACAAGCCCTCATAAAGTTTTCGAAACCTTTTGACACGTTCTGATCGATCTCCTTTTGCTTTGACTTTTCTATAGAGTGTGTAAACACACACATATGTGTGTATAATGTGTGTGTGTGTGTGTATATATATATAGCGAGAGAGACAGAGGGATGTGTGTATATATATATATATATATATATATATATAAAGTACGTATATTTTGACGTATAAATGACGAAGGGCTTACATGCATGCATGGGTGTTTGTGCAATTGGGCTTTGACCTAAACAGTCGGTAACAGGTAGAAATAGTACCTTCGGATCGTACGAGTAGAAAGTCAAGTTGGCGATCAATATAAGACGTGTTTGATTTTAATTTTTGGAGAGTTGACTAAATGTGTCCATACTTCATGCAGTAGTTTGACTATTTTAGATCACATTTTGATTTTGATGAATTATTGTGGTGAAGGATAAGGATCTATAAGGATGTTGGTGATTTTGAGTATTAAAAGTTAATAATTTTTTTTATATTATATTATATTTTACATAATATAAGAATAAAATTATTAAAAGTATATACAATGAAATTTTTAGGCACACTCTCAAGCACTAACAGCGTCTAATAGGATGACAAAAAAAAAAAAAAAAAAAAAAAAAAAAAAAAAAAAAAAATCTAATCTAATCTACTAAATATAATTCAAATTGTTGAACCAATATTCTGCATGATCCAGAGCGACACCGTTTTTTGCAGAGAGAAGTAATAAACCTTGATGACATCGGTGTGGTGTCTGCCAAGAGCTCTTCGACGTTTAAATTAGTCACTGGAGCTCTGAAATAATAAGAAGAATTTTATATATTAATTATCTTATTGGAGATGGTAACTGTCGTTGCATATAATAATCGTTAGAGAAATTTTTGATGATTCCAGAGAGATTTTTGGGAGGAGAATTCCCGGTCGACACTTATCTCATTTCTAATTTGACTTTGAGTTGCTCGGTATCTACATTCAAACTGTCTATTATTTTTATCCTTATCACAAATAATTAAAAAGTAAATGAAAAAAAAAAAAAAAAAAAAAAACGATATCGTATGAATCTCACTTGAACATGTAAAATAGATGTATTTCATTCCATTTACACTAGGTATGTAATACACTCACCAAAAGCATGGAATATATATATTTGAATTAGATATTGAGAGTTTATTTGGTTGCTCCGGTCCGATGTCAGCTAACGTAAAGCAAGCTACGTTAGCTTCTTTTTACTAATAAATTTGATTTTTTGTTGAAACAACGATCTATGTTTATCCTCGCAAATTAA